TTTCTGCGCGAATAAATAGTTTTAAAGACTTTTTTAATAACTTTCTTTACATTTGGCCATCTGTTTTTCGTTTCATACCTACTGAACGTGCTCTGTCGGTTAATTGAAACCAATAACTTAAATTTTCGTGATAAATGCACGCAGAATATTTTTACATTTTTATTTTAAAATTTTTTAGTGCAAATATGCGTAGCTAATTTCTTTGTTTTGTTTTTTATTGTATAATCTGTTCATTAAAAATCCCATACAATAATAAAAAAATCCTATTCACTCAATTATTTCGATATTTCGAAAAAAAAAAAACAGAAATTGAATTACATGTTTCAAAAAAGTCTATAAATGCAAGTAGAATGCAATTTTTGTTTTTTTCTAAATACACTCTTGCATTTTTTAAGTACGATATTTTAATGAGACAAAAATGTTTTGTCAAAACTTAAATTTGTTGTCAAAATTTACCAAAAAGAATAAAAATCATTCCATTCGTTCGTGGTAATAAAAATGTTCCTGAAATTATTCAAGTTGGAAAATACCATCATAAAATTTATAGTTTGATGTCATTCTATGTTCTATGGACTTTAGAAAGTAGTTATGATCAAGAAAATGAAAAGTAATAATTTTTTTTTCTCATAAGTAATAATTTTTTGTTCAACTTTTTATAGATATAGACAGAGGATGTGTATTTATAATGTCCTTCTCTAACTTGTGCTGTCGGATCCTCAGTTCACATATATAGTGAGAACACAAGTATACAGTTAATAAATAAATAAATATATTGTTAATTTATAAATAAATATTTGAATTATTGATTTGTTGTGAAAAGCAAAACAATCCAAAATTCATACGTTAAAATGTTACATTACGTTTACGTTAAAATTTAAACGTCAGTTTTAATCAGTAAGAAAAAGGTATCTAAAATATCGAACAACTATGGTCAAGCTTTTTAGCCCGACATAAGTAAGTAGGCTCTTTGAACTGAGCAAGGTTTACTCAGCCTTTCATCCCTTCAGTTTGTCGATAAAATGAGTAACAGACAATAGGGGTTCCACGTTCGGCTGACTACCCAACCGAAACATCTGCTCCTGCACTCCAGAGCTCAAGGTCAAGAAAACTGTGATGGGCCTTGGCCAAATGATGGGCACAGTAGATCTTGGTCCTCTTTGGACTGTCACGCCACTTTAGTTTAGTGAAGAAAATTGGCTACTCAAATTTATAATCTAGATTTATAATGGTTGTCAAATCATAATTTACATATTCTCACCAAGAGACTAGAAATCTCGTTTTTCAGTCAAATAAAACTTATACTTGACTTCCGTAATCGTTTCTGTAATTTTAAAGAGTAAAATTGAAACTATTAACCCTTTGCACTCGAAGTCCTTTCAACTTTTAAAAAAATGGACGCAACCACTAACATCTTGAAAGATTTTTTTACAAACTTACCTTATAATACCCGGAGATTGCTAAATAAAGTGGTAACTAAACATTAAGATGAACAAAAATTTCACAATTAGAGTGTTGGGTATTTTACAGGTGGCAGTGGTGACAGTCACCTCTGGAGTGCAAAGGGTTAAGTATCCGGAAAGTTCGTGCCAAATTTCGATCGGCGGAGATCCTAAAGATCAGCCAAAATATTCAAGTGGTAGCAAAGTTTTTACCGTACAATATGTTTCTTACAATTTAATTAACATTGCCATTAAATTGTCTTGATTAGCTACGCTTACCGAAAATTAGCACGAAGTTTCAGAACGACCCAGATTTCAGTTTCACTCTCTGTTTGAACAAAATACCTCATTTGTTATTATCGTTGTTGTTGTAGTTCGTTTACGTCGCACTAGAGCTGCACAATGGGCTATTGGCGACGGTCTGGGAAACATCCCTGAGGATGATCCGAAGACATGCCATCACAATTTCGATCCTCTGCAGAGGGGATGTTGGCATCTCTGCAAAAGTTTGAAAATTTAGTTACACAGTTGCGCTGGCTCTAGAAGAAATTTGCTAACTATTTAGTAAAATTTTAATTTAACACAACAAGGGATTTAAAAATCTTTTTAAACTTTTATAATTTTGAAATCTAGGTATTTAACTGAACATTTTAAAACAAACACTTTCTGAATCGGAGCTAAATTGAAGAAGTTATGGCGATATTTGTTTTGACCAAGTACCTTTGTTTACACCTTTCCTTGTCTGCAGCTAGCTGTGTATCCAAGTGCTTGCTTGTGTTTGAAAATTGTGTTTATTTTTTAAAATTTTAAAGCATCTAATCATTTGACTAGTTCATACGATCATATTTATAGTTATTTATGTTTTAAAAAAAAGAAATATTTGTTCAAAAGTAAAATTTATAATAAATAACTAGAAAAGCCATTTTTCTCTGTCCATTTCAGCTCTGTCCATTTAGCTGTTATTTGTTTACGTATTAAAAAATAGAAAAAGTACTCCCAACAAGTTTTTATATTACGCAATGCATAATACTTTGAAAGAATTTTGTGATTTTAACAAAATTTTAGATGCGAGGAATAATATTGAAAAACAATGTAATTCAAATTTTAACTTTTTTAAATTTTTTAAGTTTCAAAAATATTTTCTTGAAATTTTGTTGATTATATCTCGAATTTGTAAATTAGTTGTTTTTAACGTTAAAAACTGATACTTAAAATGTCGTACCAATGTCTTGATAATTTCTGAATAAAAAAAAATTTAAATCCTTTGTCGCCCTAAAATCACATTATTTATTTATTTTAATATTATAGCAAAAGTCACCCGTATATACTACGTAAGGTAAGCAAATGTTTATAAAATTCAGCTGAGTACATTGTTAAGTTTGCGCTAACTTTGATGAAAAATATCCTTGCCGTGCCTTTATTTTTCATCGAAATCAACTTTATGTTTTTTGAATTATTATTACAATTATTTGTAGCCGGCTGTTGAAGTAAGGACAACTTTTAAAATTAGATCAGCTCTTAAAAAATAGCTATAGGATTGTCAGGACTTTAATACTAGTTCTTGAACTATTTAAATGCTGTAGAATTCAAAATAATTTCTCTTTAAGTATTCAATTAGATTTTTATTATTGCATAAATTTCGCTACCACTTTTAATATTGGGCTTAAAATTTCTCAAAAAAGCTGCATTTGATTTTAATTTGACAGTATCAAAACGCCGTAATAATTTGTTTAATTAATAATACTTATGTTCTCCACAATATAGCTCATTATTTTTAAATATATTTAAACGTTTCTTTTTAAATGTTGTTGCTTCTAATGCCACTTGCCAATGACAGCATTTAAGGCAGACGGTGCGTTTCCTGTTCTTCAGTGGCTCCATCTATGGCCGAGAATACGATTTTAGCCACATTCACTCGTCACTGCTCATTTATGGGGCAGATTCATTCATACATGCAGTCATTCACCCGCAGATCGGAATTTTGACTTGAATCAGAGAACGAAAAATCCCCAATTCAGTATCCCCAGAGATATGATTTGTTATGGGAACATGGAGGACTTTGCTACAGGACTGATTTAACGTGTACCAGTCACCCTTTACTACTCGGTGAGTAGGCAGATATCGGACTCAGGACATTTTGGACCTAAGCACAACCAGGCTAAAATAGTGCCATGCAAAAATTTTTATCCATTTATTTAACAAAGGGTATTAAAAGCAAAATGTCTATTTTGTAACGATTTAAAATATTTTAGATAATGAAGAGTTCGAGGTCATGATTTCATCCTTTTTTTTTAAATACTAGAAAAAAACTATGGATATACTACATAAATGGTTATAATATGGAATCTGCAGCTAAAGGAATAAATCAAGGCTCATTCAGATTTATTTTTATTTCTCACAGATATTGTCAATGCGTTGGAAATGAATATATACACATGAGAACTTTTATGAAATGTAAGAACACGTAATACAAATAAGCAACAAAGTGTTTAAAAAAACAAAAAATACAACACAAGTTACGAATTACATACTTAAAATCAGTTTTGTAAAATCAGTCACATAATTATCATTACAGAAGTTCTAAATACACATAATATTTAAAGTGGTTGTAAAAAAATAATTGATCGTTTATCTGTCGGACTTATTTTGCACTAATCGAAAAAGTCCATTGATGAAAAACGTGCTACGGGTATACTCGGTTGCAAATTAAAAAAACGCGCAGAAAGTTGGTAGCCATGTGCTAATAGAAAAACTCCATGTCTGGTAAGATATGAAATCGTACTGATATCCCACAGTATACTAAGTACAGTAAAGCAGTTAACACGTTGAATGCCATGGGGATCACCGGTGACCGGCGCTGAGTTTGTTCGTAGCGTCACGGGGTCACCGGTGAAGCCAAGATTATTAGAAACGCATAATTCGAGTAAATTTTTTAATTTTTTTATATTATTATCGTTACTAAAATGGTTCGAAGAAATTAATGCAATATAGAACACACAAAAATGGTTTTATTTATATACACAGAGATGCCAACATGCTCCGGATAGCGAATAAATATTTTCAAGTGGTAGTTTGTTAATTATGATTCTTGGTTTAATAAATACAAATTAATAGATTTTTATCCACCACTATTTCTGAACAATTCGTAGGGTTATAGAATTCACTACTTTTTCTGATAAGTCATACCTCAGACCGATGGCGGCTCATTTTTGTAGTGACGTAATTGTAACTAAAATACAAAATATTTAATTTCTCTTTATTCCAATTGCATTCCAATTAATAGAAAGAACCACCTTAAAGACCACAATACAAGACGAATGGGAAAAAGGCTGCTAACGGCCCCAGGTGCCCAGATATATTTCGATGATGATGATAAGTCATGCTAAACCTTTTAAAAACTAGCAAAATCTGTTCAATATTTGCACGTTTAGTTTGTAGTTATTTACCGTTTGGCCAGACGGGCAAGGCATGTTAAATTAGCGTGGCATTCAACGTTATTAATCATGTTTCTGCTTCACAGACTACATCGTTGCGGGCATAAAAGGAACTTGCAAATGAATGTTTTTAAGTCTTGAGCACGTGTATGTTAATAACAAAATCAGATGAATATATCTTTTGCGATTGCTAAGCAAATAAATTTCAAGGCACGAAAATCACATTGAAGTCCTCAAATCCTCAGTATTTACTTTGACTATCAATTCAGATTCATTCTTCACCTGAGCGTTGATAACAATGTTCTCCAATTTCAGATCAGCGCTTTGTGGGATTTTCTTTGTGCCCCAAGACTGCAATTCTGCAGAACCGAACAGTACAAAAACTGTCGCGCAGAATATGTACACTCCCGCTGTCATGTAGAATACGTTGCTCCAATTTGCAAGAGTAGGCTGAAATGCAAAATTTTATTTAATTTTCACATACAGTTTGATAAAATCAAGTAATGGTTTAAGATTTCAAGAACATTTTAATATTATTAAAACCTTTTGACTCTTACAAATTAAAAAAAACACACTTTAAAGCAGTGTTTTATTTAATAATGATGCTGCTGATTTAATGGCATAAAATATTTTAATTTTCTAAGGGATACTAAGTAAATTATTATTTTAAAGAATGTAAGGAAATATGAAAATGAAAAGGAGAACATATTTTTTTTTCTTTCACGAAAGCATACTGTTCATGAGCTTTCTTTGCTTAACACAACTCAAACTGCGTGTTTATGAAAATGAAAACAGCTGCAAAAGCGCTTTTAAAAAAGTAGAGCTCAAAACATGCGTTTAAGAAAGTAGGTATCTCTGGAAATGCGTGTTTTAAAAAAAAGATAGACAGGGATTAATACAAGCGTTTAAGAAAATCGGAATAGCTAGAAATGTGCCTTTTTAAAAACAGAAAGAGCCCAATACACCAGTTTAAGAAATTAGGTATAGTTGAAAATGCTCCTTTAAATAAATAGAACTCAACGCACGTGTTTAAGAAAATAGGTGTAATTGAAAATGCGCTTTTTTTAAAAAAAAAAGACGGGGTTAAATACACTTGTTAAAAAAACAAGTGTAGCTGAAAATGCGCTTTTATCAAAATAGACAGAGCTCAATACACGTGTCTAAGAAAATAAGAGTAACTGGAAATGCGCTTTTTAAAAAATAGACAGAGCTGAATACACGTGTTTAAGAAAAATTAATACAAAATCCGTCTTTTAAATGGTAAAACGTCAATCAAAATTCTTTAAGCCCAACCAAATCAGTTTGAAATTTTTATTAATTTTAAAAAAAAACTTAGCCGCGATGTAACTTGCTTTTAAAATTATTATAAGTTAATAATTTGAAAAAATAGTAGTCACAAATATAGTTTGAAACATGAAATCAAATACTTTGTCTAATTTCATAAACAGGCATTTTGAATTGAGTTCATCTGATAAATTACTTACTTCAAACCATGTCCATTCTTTTAAACGCACACTGAATGCTGTATTGAAATTAAATGCTTACCATCGAAACATAATAAATATGCTAAGTTCTAAGATTTGATAAAATGCGATGTTTCACTTTTTTACCGTGTTCTTGCAAGATTCAAAAAGTGGTCTATATTTTCTGGTTAAAGTAATAAATCTGGCTATTATTAACATAAACTTGTTATTAATAATAATAACAGGCTGTTATTAATAACAATAACCGGTGGTTATGATTAATAATAACGGGTGAATATTGATATTAATCAGTTAATAACATTGACTTTAACATACATATATACTTTAACATATACTAACATATATACTTTAACATATACTAACATACATACTTTAACATACATATTGGTTGGAACGCCTTGGAATATTTCTAAGTGATAGAAAAAGTGTGACAAATATTGTTGTTAAAAATTTAAAAGTGTCTACCGAAAAATTTCAATTTGATGGGAATATATGAATATATATTGCTTTTATTAGTTGAAGTTACTTTTCTTTGTGATTATTATTATATTATAATAGATAAAAATGAAAACATAAATCTCAATAGAGAAACACATTTACTACCACTTTCTCGTCATTTAAGAAGTACGGAATAAAATGGCTAATGCATTGCTAGCAATTCATGTAAGAAGACGTTTTTAAAATTTCTGTAAACCGCACAACAGTTTTAAAACACCTATCTTATAATATCATTAACCAGTCCAAATAGTAGAACAGTTAATTCGAGAATAATTATTTTTCAAATTAAAAAATTTTAAAATATGTGAAATTTATCTATATTTATTTGATTTTTTTAAAGTTAAAACTGGTATGTTATTTTCAATTTAAAAGTATGGTTGTAAACATTTCATTTTTTTAAGGAATGTTTTTCAAAGGGAATGAATGGAAATAAAATTGTGCTGATAACTGCAGCTTTAGCAGATTTTTTTTAATTTTGTGAACAATTAAGACCACATAAATTTATTTACATATTATTTATATAAATATTATTGTCGCCAATCCTTACGGATTTTCGGAAGAGTTTGTTCTTAAATTTAAAATAGTAGAGTAGTTTATACTTTCTGATTTCAATATTGTATTTATAAATATAATTTAAAATTATTTGGCAGCAACTAGTAATTAATAAAATAAATATATTAAACTATATTAGTTAAAGAGTGATTTACGCAAGCTCTGGAAAAATACTAAATATAAGGTGTATTTGTTTCTGATATTCCTTTCTTTCGTAGTATGAAAAACAGGAAACGATTGTTCTAAATTTCGTTGCCACATAAAATAATACAATTCAGCAAAAAAGGAATGTGTTGCCATTACCAGGAAGCAAAATAGAAATCTTTCGAAATTAAGGCGAAGGCGCGTTTCTTGTTTTTCAGGGGCGCCATCTATGACCAGCAATACGATTTTGCCTCCCACATACGTCATAGCCCGTTTTATATGGCGGACTTTCTCTCACACCTTTTCTTCATCCGCAGATAGTAATTTTGACCTGAACCAGAGAATGACCGATGTTCCAATATAGTATCTGCAGAGTACTAATTGATTTGTAATGGAAACTTGGATGACTTTGTGAATTCGACATATTTAATGTGCACCAGCCATCATTCAATACATGGGGACTTTTCAGCCGGCTAGATTCGAAGTCCTGTTCACACGAATACAATTCCAACGTCCTTCCAACTGGGTTATCCCGATGCCCAAAAAATGTAATATAATGCAATACTTACGCCAGTAGCTATGAAAATAGCAACAATCATGGGTCCTATGAAGCCAGATATGCAAGCAAATCCATTGGCAATACCATATAATGTTCCTAAAAATAGATTTCAACTAACTTGAAATACAAATGCAGGGTTGCCAACTTTTAGCAAATATTTATTCTAGTGGTAGCTAAGTTAATGCTTTTATGTATTATTTTTTACTCAGTTAAACTTTTTTCCCACACCATTACATATAAATGTTTTATAAGGTCTCACGCAACGCCACTTTGTTGAAGCTCTTTCGTTCGTGAGGAGTTTTAAAATATTGTCCAAATTACCAAATATTCTGAAAGCTTTTGGTTTTTACCTGTCTACCACTCTGTAAAATATTTTTCAAAAAGCGTAGCTATTGACAGGCCTGCAAATGTGGTACAAATAATTTAGCCGACTTTTGAAGAAAGCTTTGGCTGCAAAAATTAACTAATACTAAGTACACTTTTATTTATACTTAAAATTATATAATTTTGCTTAGTGATGGGAAGAATAATTTTAAACAAAGTTACTAAAGAATGACTTATATAAATTTGGCCACCGATAAAAAAATATAGAGACATTTCTCACAAAGTGATGCAAGTTAGCATTCCTTGTTACCAGGGCTGCCCACTTTCTACGCTTCTTGTAAAGATTTATTCTAGTGGTAGCTAAGAAATGTTTTAGTGTATTTTTTTAATTCAGTTAAACTTATTTTTCACACCACTATACTTAAATGATTTAAAAGTTCATATGCAACGCCACTTTGTTCCAGCTCTCTCAAAGTGAACCCTTTTGCAAAGTTTCCAAAAATTCTGAAAGTTTGGTTTTTAAATACCTACCATTCTATAAAATAGTTTCTAAAAAGTCTAGTAGTTGCTAGGCCTACATTGCAAGAAAAAGCGCAGCTGGTAAATTTGTTCTACTGACACCAGCTGAAATTCATTTCAGTTGTAAGAATCGTCGCAAAGAACTGTTACGATGGTGTGATGTTCCCAACGGAATTTGAGCAAATTTAATACTACTTTTATTAGATTAAATTCTACTTAACAGTTATAGAGGGCATAAAATGTGTTGATACATATCGAAAGAACTATCCATCGAGGGAATATTGAACAAATACATTTATTTTATAAATATTAATCACATCATTTGAATTATGTTTAGCTCAATTTTGTTCTCACTTGGACCAAAAGAATGCTTTCTAGAGTTTTCTGAAATGGAAAACTTATTTCTTGCTAACACTGCATTTTAGGCAGAAAACTGAGAATGTAAAAATAAATATTTCTTTCTCCTCCAAAACATTTTAACAATAGAATGTGAGATGCGGCGTATACCAATTCGTTTGTTACTTTAGCTTATGGTATGCAGTTGGCAGCTGTATCTGGCATACATTTATCTAGAAATTCAGGTGAATTTGGGATGTCACGTTTTTGTTCTGATTTTTTTCCCTTTGAGCCCTTTAAGCAAAAACATCTAATATCCGCTCAAAACCGTTCAAAAAAATGTCCCCAGTTTTGTTGACTATTTATTTCGGATTGTAAATTAATGCGAAAAAAATAATTTTTAGATTAATGTGAAAACCGTCAGTGCATTAAAAATCAATGATAAGAAAGATACGTTTAAAATAATTTTCAATCTTAATTTTAAGTTTTCTAAAAAAAAGTGATTTTTTTTTGGTATATGTAAGTGGAGTCAGTCATTAAGAGCAATCATTGGAGCCATTCAAATATTACGTCAGCATCTTTTTGGCAATTTTCGATCCCTTCCCCTATTGTGAGCAAAAATAAGCCACAAATACCACAAACACCCTTTTATGTTTACATTAAGAAGTCAAAACACTTTTTTCTCATTGTATTCTTGCTTTAAACGAAATTTACATTTGTATTCATTACATAAAATTTCAAGTAAGTAGCACAATAGCACATTTTTTTCAACTACATGAGATTTTTGAATAGTTCTAGAATATTTTCGTGATGCTGATTTCAAATCTGCAATTGGGTTCTCTCCACAAGCTGCAGTTTTATGCAATTGATTGATAGATTCTAAACCAGAACTTTTTAAAATTCACTCAAGTGAATACTCAATGTCCCCACTTATTTTATACGTAAGGAGTGTTCCAGGAAGACGATAAATATATTTCAGTTCATGATGCGATACGTTTAGGTCATACATATGTTGCATTAAGTGCTATTTTCAAATTAGAAAGCAAGCGTATATTTAGGTTAATAACTTTCAGTATATACGTTCTGTATAAACATGTATAATAGGAAAAAAATAAAATAAACCAAAATATCATTTTTAAAAAAATCTGCAGCTTTCAGAACAAAGCTAATTGCAGATTTAAAATCATCACATTCGAACTAGGTAAGATCGAGTACTTGTATAAATGCTTCAAAAAATTTGTCTCCAGTGTTATTTTTTTTAAGAATCGTTAGTGTTTTTTTACCGTGGATATTAGCTTTTGACAACTGAAAATTTTTGTCCTCAGAAACTTCCTGAAAAACGTTTTTATTTTTATTTTATTTTCATTTTCCTTATATTTAACTTAAATTACTTTTGAGTTTACAAATTTTTCCTTTCGTAATTTTTTTTCAGTTTTTTTACTACATTTATATAAGAATAAGGAGTATACGTACGTATTGCTCACATCCTTACTTCAATGTTAACAAAAACATGTTTATTACATAATATTTGACAGGTTATTATTTGATATTATTTAATATCGGTTCTTCCTTTAACTTCGTTTTTAAACTTTTGCCCTCATATTTAGGTACAATTGTTATTGGATAAATATTGCACTACTACCTCTTGATCAAGGTCTTTTGGAATATTTTTGATTTTTTTTCCTTTGTCATATATAATTAAAAAATAAAATAGGATTTAAAAAAAAGTTAAACTCTTGCTATAGAGTTAATAGAGTGATGCTCCTCATAATTTAAAATTTTAGTAGAAGGTGTAATAAATGTATATGATATGAACACATAATAATTTGTATACTAAATGAACAGTGTGTCAGAAAAAGGGATCACTCTGAATTACTTTTGATCTAATAATCGGTGCATCACGTTCTAGGAGTCAAACTTAATGCTTCGAGAGTGTGACCTCGAATATGTTAATTAATTAATGCATACGAAATTATAAGTTAAGAAATCAGACTCAAAAACGCACTTCCTCTAAATAAACATAGCTTTTTTTAATTTTTTGTAACGGAATCGGATATCTGATTCCTCAAATATAGCCGCAATCTGGGAAATATTGTCCCCATAGTTCGGTCAGGGTATCGGTTCAAAGTTTCGGCCCCTGAATGCTAATTTTACTTTTTCGAATATCGCCAAATCTCGAGAACTTTTTAAGCAAATAGAAAAATAAATTTGCTCTCAATTGAAATATTGGTTTACCCAAAGATAATGATACTCAGAAAATAAATTGCAGTAAATATTTATTATTTTATTTAATAATTGCCAATAATTATTTTGAATAGTAAAGCATACAATTTCTTACATCATTTTAAAATATTTAATTTTACATGACAAAATACAAAACTTGAGAGAAATCGGTCGAATAGTTTATGAGAAATCGAATTTTAACTATACGATTTTTGAAACAAAAATCGATTTCTAGGGAACTAGTCAACCCATTTCGCTCAGATTTAAGAAGGTCCGTTTTTTTTTGCTGCACTGCACCTAATAAATGTCAAATACATAATAACTTGTACCAAAAAATATGTTAGATTTGAGTTCTTGTATGGCTTTTTCATTTTTAAATAATTAATATTTTCAGCAAATATAAATAAATAGAAATGCTTACCTGAGAAACCTGGACACATGTCGACATGGGTGACGTTGTAGCCAGAATAAATGCACCCATCGAGAGCTATTGCAGTCACAAGAAGTGCTACATTGATGTCCAAGCGACAGCCAGACGCTGTTATGCCAAGTAAACAAATAGCAGGGCCAAAGATACCTGCAAAGATCAATTGTGCCTCATTTAGTGAGTATGCCAATGGATTGCTTTTAAAATCACACGAGAAAATTTAAGCTTAGAAACACAAGAAATGTTTGCAAAATTACGGATAATAGCAAAGAGAACCCGCTGTATTGGAACAATTAATAAAAAAGAAAGGTTTTTATCTTCTGATATCCACAAGCAATATAGCGTTGCTTGTACTGATTATAGTGACAATTGTCTATACTCCAGTACTGCGGGGGGGGGGGGGNGGGGGGGGGGGGAATATAGCATTGTTCGTTTCAATATAGTGGCGAGAGCCATGGAGGCTTGGGGGACAGAGCACTCGCCTCTCAATGAGGCAAAGCGGGTTCGAAACCCAGCTATGGCGGGTCTATTCAAATTCTGCATCCAGCTCGCACCAAATGTAGTGTTGATGTAAAATGTCCTTAATGGTAGACGGATCATGGGTTAGAGTTCCTTTAGCGTGAGGGTAGCCGTGGGAGGTTTTGTGGTTTTCTTTTTCATGTAACGTAAATTAAATGACTACGAAAATTAAAAGGCTACGAATGTGAGCATTGGTAGTCGTAAACTCAAATATGGTTGGTTGTTCAACGACGGCTTTAAACGAAAATGAAATAAAATAAAATATCGTAACTAGCAATTAAGCATACGAACAATTAAAAACAAAAAAATTATAAGCGAAATATTTTTATATTTAATTATGAAGGTATACGGGTTCCTCAAGTCGTATCTGAACTCTTATAAACTGAGAATTCAATCTCAGAAACATATGAACGCTATTATGATTTGTGAATCTCGGAAACATTCAGGCCATTTCTGGACAATAATAAACCTCATATATAATCTCAAAAACATTCAGATCATTTCTGGACACTAATAAACCACATATATAATCTCAAAAACATTCAGGTCATTTCTGGACAATAATAAAAAACATATATAATTTCAAATACATTCAGATCATTTCTGAACACTAATAAACCTCAAATATAATCTCAAAAACATTCTGGTCATTTCTGGACACTAATAAACCACATACATAATCTCAGAAACATTCAATTTGAACACTAATAAATCGCAAATTCAAATCATATCTTAATATTAATAATTCACTTTTTTTACAATTTTGCCGATTATAATGTTTACATTAATTAAAGAAGACGCTTATAATATCTTACCGATAGAATTGAACAACTTTCTAATTGCAGTTACGGACATTTTCTCCGATTCTCTTAACTTATCGGCAGCTAGAGATGCAACACAAGCTACTATTGCTTGGAATATGTAAGCCAACGCTGAGATGAATCCATTCTAAACAAAAGAAAAATAACTTAGAAAGCGTAAATAAATAATGCTGAAATGTATATTATTATTCAAAGCTGGTTTTTAAATTTCTTAATGCATAGCTTTCTTGATTTTGTGCTATCATTTTTTATCATTTTTCATTTGCATTCATAGGTTTTCTATCAAGCTTTTGGTTACACATACGAAATTGTACTATGCTGCTAATTTTAAATATTTTCATTGATGCTGAGATTAATTTGAGCTTTATGTATGTAAGCTTTATAAATTAAAATTGATGTCTTTATAAATCAAACTACACAAAAATATTGAACTTGCATTTGCAGCATTGCATTTGAAGTATTGCGCCTAAATATATTGTGTCTGATTTCGTAATTTAAAATATAGTCTGCACTAATTAATTAGCATATTTCAGATAACACCCTGCAACTCGTCCTAAAACGTGAAAATCCGATTATTAGATTAAAAATTATTCAGGTTGGTCTGTTTTTTATTTTGCGCACTGTAGATTAAGTGCGTGCGTAAAATGAGACGGGAATTATTTTGATAGACGTTTTTTATCTTATGGATTTAACATAAATTCTTATTTTTTCATAGACGAATAAAATCAAGTTACTTTCTTTGTTAACCCCTTGGGGACGGCTGATTCATAAAAGCATTCGTACAAAATCAGAATCAGGATGTAAATAAATATAAAACGGTAGCATAAATGTAGGCATTGCTAATTTGACAGACTTAATTCGCTTTGACTTTAATTATTGTTAGTTTNTCTCAGAAACATTCAATTTGAACACTAATAAATCGCAAATTCAAATCATATCTTAATATTAATAATTCACTTTTTTTACAATTTTGCCGATTATAATGTTTACATTAATTAAAGAAGACGCTTATAATATCTTACCGATAGAATTGAACAACTTTCTAATTGCAGTTACGGACATTTTCTCCGATTCTCTTAACTTATCGGCAGCAAGAGAAGCAACACAAGCTACTATTGCTTGGAATACGTAAGCCAACGCTGAGATGAATCCATTCTAAACAAAAGAAAAATAACTTAGAAAGCGTAAATAAATAATGCTGAAATGTATATATTATTCGAAGCTGGTTTTTAAATTTCTTAACGCATAGCTTTCTTGATTTTGTGCTATCATTTTTTATCATTTTTCATTTGCAATCATAGGTTTTCTATCAAGCTTTTGGTTACACATACGAAATTGTACTATGCTGCTAAATTTAAATATTTTCATTGGTGCTGTGATTAATTTGAGCTTTATGTATGTAAGCTTTATACATTAAAATTGATGTCTTTATAAATCAAACTGCACAAAAATATTGAACTTGCTTTTGCAGTATTGCATTTGAAGTATTGCGCCTAATCTTATTGTTTTATTACATTAAATTGCACCATGCGGTGAAGCTATTAAATACTTACTGATGCTAGATCGTAGTGAAGAGCTGTGCTTAAGTAAGTTGGTAGTTCTGTCAGCAACACTAGAAAGCCAAATGCTTGACCAAATTGCGCAATCATAAGAGCCCATACAGGAACAGATGTAAACCTATCTTTCCATGGAATCACATGTTTCTATATAAAACAGTTAAAGTTAAATAAATCAGTAAACATAGGACCTAAAGTATGTCTAATATACTATTGATGAAACAAAAGTTCATAATTATATATTTCAATTTTCTTAATAATATTCGTAGACATTCATTAAACAGTTCGTGCACTTTTTTACTTGATATTGTATCAATATTCTTGTACTTAGTCAATAATGTGTAAGTACAGTGTTAGCAGTTACAGCATAGTGCGCAAAATAAAAAACGGACCACCCTAATTAACTTTTGATCTAATGTTCGAATCTTCACGCTCTAGGACTCAATCTTAGTGGTTCGAGAGGATGACCTCAAATATACCAATTAATTAGTGCGTACGATATTTTAAGCTACGAAATCAGACACAAAATGTACTTTCTCTGAATAAGCATACCGTTTTCTTGACGGATTCAAACTTCTGACCCCCAAAATATAGGGGGATCACGCAATTTAAAAAATTTAGTTCCCATAGTTTTGTCAGGAGAGCGATCTAAAGTTTCGACCCCTTAATGTTAATTTTACCTTTTGCGTATAAATTTTCCAAACTTTGGACAGCTTCCTAGACCAAACTATGGGGACCATATTTTCTAGTTTGCGGCAACCAACTATATTTTGGGGGTCAGAAATCCGACTGGAAAAAAAGTAGGTTCATTCAGAGAAAGTATATTTTTGTGTCTGATTTCGTAATTTAAAATATAGTCTGCACTAATTAATTAGCATATTTCAGATAACACCCTGCAACTCGTCCTAAAACGTGAAAATCCGATTATTAGATTAAAAATGATTCAGGTTGGACTGTTTTTTATTTTGTGCACTGTAGATTAAGTGCGTGCGTAAAATGAGACGGAAATTATTTTGATAGACGTTTTTTATCTTATGGATTTCACATAAATTCTTATTTTTTCATAGGAGAATAAAATCAGTTACTTTCTTAGTTAAACAAATCTGCAAACATGCTTTTGAGAATTTAATTGTTAGAACATTGACAAAGTTTGGTTTCAACTAACCTCTTTGGATTCTTCGTCTTTATTTTGTTCGATGTATAAAAATTCTTCTTTAGAGATTGTGGGATGAACTGAAGGAGTTTCATACATTAAAAAGCACCAAAAGAAAAACCAAATCACGCCTATTGTACCTAAAACCAGAACAAAAAATTTTTTAAAAGTGCAACGATAGCATTCTGAAACAATACATAACTTCAAATATTAGTCTATTCAGAAATATAAATATTACTAAATACAAAGTACAATTAATAGTATTGAAATATATTTGCCAGAAAATACTTTCCCAGTTTATTATAATGGTATTAAAAAAGAAAAGAGGTTCAACTTAAACTTTTTGGTCGATGCAAATATTGTATGGGTTCCTGGTATTTATTAAAGAAACAAAAATATCTGTTGAATTTCTGCCTTAAAAAAATATAGGTAAAGCATACCTGCCAACTTTTAATCCCTTCCATTATCATTTTTCCCAGTGGTATTAAAATGGAATTAAAACTTCAATTTTAAGCAAACAAATACGTTGCATTTGAATAAACTTAAGTTGACAACCATGATAGTAACGCATATTAATATATGTGCTTAATTTTTGTAAGAATAGTGGTGATNATTATTGCTGCATTTGCTTTATCTATTGTGCTTTTGATGTGATCATTCCAGGTGAGTTTGCTATTGATTATAAGGCCAAGATAATTTGCTTTTTTAACTATTGGTATTGGTATGTTGAACATTTTTGGTTGAAGTTGTGGAAGTATTTTAATTCTTCTTTTTTGTATAATTAATATTTGTGATTTTCCAGCATTTACTGCAGTTTTCCATTTTAAGCACCAGTCTTCTATTTCGTCTATATGGTCTTGTAGTTTTTGAAGAGCATGATTTGGGTTTCTGGATTTAATAATAATACCAGTATCGTCTGCGTAATTGGCTGTTATGCTGTTATAATCGGCTTTCTTTATAGCAAAATCATAAGTGTATAATATGTATAATATCGGTCCCAGAATGCTGCCCTGTGGTACTCCGGCTGTGAGCAGTAGTGGCTAAAAATTGGTGAAACTTACAAGTAAATAGTATTACATTTCTAGTGGTGTATGAGCTACGGCCAGCTAAGAGCCGACAGTATAGGCCAATGGTTAATTTGACATTTACAATACAAGTAGTATAAACAGAAAAGATTAAAAAATAAACTCTCGCCTTATATAATTCTGATGTAACTTCTGAAATTAAAATGGACGCAAAGATACAATAATAAAGTTTTTAACGATTGCGATTTTATTTTTTATTTTTTGACATAAAATATCAATGGATATTTAAACGTACTAGCAATGGCATTCCTTGTAGCCTGTTCCTATCCAACTCAAATTAAAATGGTCAAATTTGATGACACATTTTTCCAAAAAACTTCAGAAACAATTTCCGACAACAGGAAATTATTTACATTTTTATAAACTCTTTTTTGTACATTCTGCATGATTATACTAGGCTACATTTGAGCAGATAAATTTTGGAACTAAATAATTATTTTATAAAGCTTTCATATGGGCCGGGATAGCCTGGCTGGTCGGGTGCTGGACTCACGCTTGCGAGAACGTAGTAAATTATTATCGGTGCACGTTAAATCTGTCGAGTCACAAAGTCCTCCATGTTAACATGACAAATAAATACCTCTGGGAGTACTGAATTGGTGATTGATCGTTCTCTGGTACAGGTCAAAATTACGATCTGTGGATGAATGAATGGGTCCGCCCTATAAACGGGTGTGGCGTATGGGTGTGGCAGAAGTCTAATTCCTGGTCATAGATGGCGCCACTGAAAAACAAGAACAATCGTACCCTCTTTGCCTTAACCCTTTCGCGCCGACTGTCACAAATACGTGACAGCAAAAGTGCGTATCAATCTTAGTAAGAAGATAAAACTGGTAATCAAAGTATTTCTTTAGCACTTTATTTGTAGGCGGAGTTATAATTTTTTGATTTATTTAATTCACCATTACTTTGTTCAAAATAAAACTATTTAGTTATACTTTGAATTAACATTGATTATATATATGATTAAACNTTGCGATCTGTGGATGAATGAATGGGTCCGCCCTATAAACGGGTGTGACGTATGGGTGTGGCAGAAGTCTAATTCCTGGTCATAGATGGCGCCACTGAAAAACAAGAACAATCGTACCCCCTATGCCTTAATGGCCGACATAATGTTTTCATATTCTCCGCGTTTACGAAATCGTTAAAAATTATGGAGAAATAAACTTGTTTAATGTTTGTTATTGACCTCCTCGTATGTATGATATTGTAATCATACATTTCTTAAAATATACATTCTCCGACAGATTGTTTCAACCATACTTTCTATATCTTGAGCCGTAATACGGTGCAAAAAATTCCACACGTATCTTATAAAAATTAATTCTCTGTAAAATTTATTGAAAATTGTAAATGAAAAGGTTACAGTTTGAAAAATTCTGATCCAAAGTTCTCATTGACACAACGTCCAAAAACTGATAGTTTCCAAGATACGAGGCCTCAAACATAAATATTGAAAAGTAACAAAAATCTAATACCGTCACGGCATAAGCATTAACCAATGTGCACCACGTGGAGATTGTCGGATTGGGTTTCGCAAATGCTATATCCTTTAAAAGGGCTGATTATTTAAACAAAAAGATGCTTGGATGTAAGCATATAATTATATATAGTTATACATAAACATAACAAGACATTAATTACTTAAACAGTATATAAATATTATTTACATTTTGTTGGAGAAGTCGATTTTCTACGTTCTAGATACATTCGATTATCTTCGTAGATGGATACTTGAAATTATCTCTATACTTGCATATCCTAAACACTTGCAATGTGTGCACAAGTACTCCACGTCACAACCCCACAGTAACCGTTCTATATCTCTTATGTTTGAAACTTTGTGCCAATAAGAACTTTTGCCCAGAATATTTTGAACTACAATAGATTATATTTTAAGCCAATTTGAAAGGGAATCAATTTACATAAAATTTGGACGGGATATTGTTGCATTCTTAATAAGGGACAAATTCAACGATCTTACCATAGAAGTTGAACCTCGGTATCGTATAACCAAGTTTAAAATCGTTGATAATATGGTTCAACTTAGTGCAATGTTAAGGTTGTAGCAACTATAAACGATATAATGGTTCAATACTCTTCAAAATGTTTAAAAGATTAAAAAAAACATGTTACCGAAAGTGTAGAAAACAGAAGGCCACCCTCCAAGGAAATCTGTACTGCAGAGCAAACCGGACACAGAGAGGGATGCCACGTTCCCTGCCATCACGCCAGTGTAGATGATTGTAGACAGTCTGCTCCTCTCAACTTTAGGTGCCCACTTGCTGATGGAAGCTGTTATGGAAGGGGTTGTCACGCCCTGAAGATATACAATTAAACACCATGCTACATTGACAGCACGTGTAATCATTTACATGAATTGTATCGCCACAAAATAATCTCAAAAGTTTGCCACCGATTTGATGTTATGCAAGTGCAAAATAACCAATCTAAATTATTAAGGTACTGAAACATAATAATACCTGTTTTCTGTTTTTAAACATAATTGATTATGGCCTCTTTATAAGGGCTTGATCATAAAAATCATATTGTCTATGAGTTAACATTTATCTTGCACGATATGAGCTGCTAGTAAATTTGCTCAAATTATTACAGAGATACCAACTGCTCCGGACACGCCAAAATAATTGAAAAACGGTAAATAACTTCAAACTACATTTTGCAGATGTTTGACTATTTTTGTTTGCTTTTTAAGTGGCATAGCATGACATAACTACCACAAAGTGGTGAATTATATAAGACTATGAACTATTTAGAAATAATGGTGGATAAAAATCTACCAATTTGAATATTTTAAACCCAGAATCACAATTGATAAACTACCTCTTTAAAATATTTATTTGCTGTCCGGAGCAAGTTGGCATCTCTGTTATTATAAAAGATCGTTGACCTCTTTGAGACGGGTGAATCATGTATGCATTTTCAAGGTTTTTACAATCAGGGAACAATAGATAAAGCTGGTTGCCACACTATTTCTTTATCAGTTTATTTGTTAGACGAGGTAATAATATTTTAATCTATTTCATTTTTTTATATTTTAAATTAAGTAGTGGGAACTACTTAATTTAAAATATAAAAAAATATGCATTTTATACTTTGAACTAATACTGATTAGATCCTCCTCATTTACGGACAACAATTTGAAAGTTTTTGAGAAAGATACTTCTTTTTATTTTCAACTTATATAATTTCTTCCAGTAAGGTGCTCAAGCTTTAAATATCAACAACCAAAAGGTCAGGTGATTACAATGTGTTACCTCATTTTTTTAAAAAAAAAGTACATGATTTATGGTATAAGGACCGCTTTGTGGCCCAGGTGACCAAATTGTAACCACCACTAGGACTAAGAACATTGAATAGTTATGTAAGAAGTAAAGTAAAACCAAAAAAAAAGAGTCTGTGAAATTAGTCATGCCCTCATATAAACTATAGCTTTTTACGTTTTTCCATCCTGTGTCTTTTTTTGTACCAATGCGTTCATACTCGCCAGTCCCGAAGAGGTAAATAAATTGCAACCGTGGATGATCACTAATAAATCACTGCCTTCTAGAAAATTTTGATGTTTAAATTATTGTTAATACCTATCATTTATTTTACTTTCAAAGTTGAAAGTTGTGTAAATTATAGTACTTACATCAGCCAGTCCTTGAAGAACACGGATAGCAACTAAAGCATATTTATCCAGATGTGCAGCTAATGGGGATAAAAGGGTGAAGATAGACGTAGCCAAAACTCCTCCGCCAAATACCCATTTGGCACCGTACTTCTCAGCCAATATGCCACCAGGTACGTGAGTGATCACATACCCATAGTAATACGCCGCCAAGATAGCTCCTTGTGTTGGAGTATCCCAGTTGAATTGTTCACCCTAAAATAATTTATGAATTATTCATTAAAATCATTAATGGTCTTATTCACGAAAATTAAAAATTATGGAGTAATAAATTTATTGAAACAAAAAATATATACTTTATTATTTGTATTCTAAGCAATAATTTTAGGATATGCTTGAGATTTAGGCTTTATTCATTATAACTAGGACGATGAAAAGTCCACAGAATTGTTATTTTTGTTTACATTATTCTTTTTCAAATCAAAATTTTCATCCAAATTATAATTGTTATATACTGTAATATTATTTCAAACAATANGTAGCCAAAACTCCTCCGCCAAATACCCATTTGGCACCATACTTCTCAGCCAATATGCCACCAGGTACGTGAGTGATCACATACCCATAGTAATAGGCCGCCAAGATAGCTCCTTGTGTTGAAGTTTCCCAGTTGAATTGTTCACCCTAAAATAATTTATGAATTATTCATCAAAATCATTAATGGTCTTATTCACGAAAATTAAAAATGATGAAATAATAAATTTATGGAAACAAAAAATATATACTTTATTATTTGTATTCTAAGCAATAATTTTAGGATATGCTTGAGGTTTAGGCTTTATTCATTATAACTAGGACGATTAAAAGTGCACAGAATTGTTATTTTTGTTTACGTTATTCTTTTTTAAATCAAAATTTTTATCCAAATTATAATTGTTATATACTGTAATACTATTTCAAACAAAATATCAAATTTACTTTCAAATGAAAAACATTAGCTTACTTTACATAGTTGACCATTCATTCTTATACTTTTATCTATGCAATAAAATATAAACACTTGCGTATATCAATAAACGATATTAACACGTTGAATGCCATGGGGGTCAGCGGTGACCGGCGAAGCCAAGATTATTAGAAACACTCGATTCGAGTAAAATCTTAATTTTTTTATATTATTATCGTTACTAAAATGGTTTGAAGAAATTAATTCAATATAGAACACACAAAAATAGTTTCTTTTAAATACAGAGAGTTGCCAACTTGCTCCAGACAGTGAATAAATATTTTCAAGTGGTAGTTTATTAATTGTTATTCTTAGTCAAAAAAATTCAATTCAGTAGATTTTTTTCCACTACTATTTCTAAACAATTCGTTGGCTTATATAATTCACCACTTTTTTCTGATAAGTCAAGCTAAACCGTTAAAAAAAACTTGCAAAATTTGTCTAATATTTGCAAATTTAGTTTGTAGTTATTTACCGTTTGACCAGACAGGCAAGCCATGTAAAATTAGCATGTCATTTAACGTCTTAACAATGAAAGTGATTAATCAATAGAGATTTTAAGAAAACAATTATTTAAGAGTACAGTATTAAACAAGGAAACTCTTTTTTATGTCTTACCGTAAAAATCATACTGCTTTTTTTAGGTTCATCCTGGACCAAGTTGGGGCATTCTGCAACTTGGTTGAAAGAAGCATTCAGTGAAGGCAGAGGAGCATTTGTTGTCTGGTTGACCATTGCCACAATAGCCACGCTGAGATTCGTCCTCATGGCAAAAACATTAAATATACCAAGACTTCCAAGGAGAACCAATATGTACCTTCTCGGCATATAGAGTGATTTCAATTCTAAAAAAAGAAACATTATTGTTCAGAATTTTGGAATTTTTTCTACTTTATTTTATGGCAAAACTGTACACGACATTTATATATAAGCATTTATAATGAAATTTCATCAAACTGTTTTGTCTCTCGCTAAATTTTATTTGTTTCAGTTTCATTGTTCAAAAACTTTCAAGTATAGAAGATCTAGGAAAATATCAAAATTTATACATGCCTTATATACATGCCAAAATACTCTTCAACATGCTTGCCTAAATGAAATTTTTTACATGCCCAAACATATTTTTCAAGTGCAAATTAATGAAAGCATAATAATGCATATCAGTATTAAGCATTTTAATGACGCTTATAATCCCATTAACGAAACAAAATTCCATAAACAGCAATATGTCCGCATCAAAAACTATGGAAAGTATCAAGTAAAGCGGACAAATAAAATAAATTTNTTCCACACCAGATTGAATCGACCTCAGTGCTGACATAAAATATCCTCAGTGGCAGACGGATCATTGGCTAGATTCCCGTTGCCGTCAGGCTGACCGTGGGAGGTTTGAGTGGTTTTTCTCTCCATACAAATGCGGCTTAGTTCCATTAAAAAAGTCCTGCACGAAGCAAAATTTCCCCCAATACTTGATTCAGGAGCTCCCTTGTCCTCTGGATTAGGTTTAAAATTACAAAACTATGGAGATGAACATTAGTAGTCGTATATCCAAAATTGTATCGCTACCACTACAATTTTGGATATATGAATAAATAAATTTTGCGTGTGTGTGTGTGTGAGAGAGAGAGAAACGAAGAAAGTAAGAAAAGAGACAAAAAAAGGATAAAAAGATATTAAATAAAGAAGAAAATAATTGCTACAAAATTTGAAAATTATTGTAAACTAAAAAAACAATAATTAAAAATCAACAACTAAAATATATATTCTCGCAAGCTGCTCAAACGATTGTATCCGTAAAAATAGTACTTTTTAATAATGCATTAATACACTCGAAACATAATAGATCTACACAATATTGTGAAGAGATAATAAAAGAGAGCGATCCGTAAGCATAATTTTATAGAGTAAAAATATAACAAAAATTGAAAAAAAGAAAAAAACAGAAAAGGCACGAAAGAGAGAAAGATGTCTTGTACCAACGAATAACTTGCAAAAATATCTAAAAATATTCTCTTAATTAATTTGCCAGATTTTGAAAAATGGAGGTAAAGCTTAAATAGAGGGTTATGAGATGTATTTTTAAGGTGCGTCCATATTTAAGTGAAAAGTAGAATTTGATTTGTTCGGTACCCCCCTGGATAAGTCTGAAAACCAGATTTGAACCAGGTTACATTAAATACATTAAAGACCAAGAGCATTAAATGTATTAAGAGCCAGATACATTAAAGGAAAAACAACATTAATAAAGCAAAGACGAAAGTTTTATGTTTATTTGTAATTTGATTTGTGCTTTATTGACGTTTTTTTCTTTAGTTTACATAGCACAAAGTATCCATATCCTTTATTGAATAATATATTATACTAGAAAATTCAAAACTTATAATTAATAAAAGATCGACATTTAATTCGATGATTTTATAGAAATTATTACCATTTTTCGAATAATATTAAATATGCAATTGAATATTGAGGAGGTGGTTGTTGGTTAGCTATAAAACGTCAAATTAATTACAATAAAGAACGGATATAATTTCAATTTTTGGTTCCTATGGATATGCAAGTTGCTGACAACAAAAGTTTTCGTTATACGACTATATTATTTAATTAATTTTAATACTCAATGATTTTGAATAGAATTTAATTTAATTTCTTGGATAATCGTTGTTTTCAATCAAATTTTGCAAAATTATGTCTCCTTTGTTTTTGGTATTTAAATAAATGTTGTTAAAATAAATAAATCTTAAATTCTCTTTAAAATTTTTTAACTTTTCTTTCCTTCTTTATTGTCTTTTATATTTTATAATAAAAATTGCAACATTAACAAAGCACATTTTTGGGGACTCTATTGGCCAGCCTTATATTCAATAGTAGTATACAATAGTTTTTAGAATACAATTGTCGTACACAATTTTGTATACAATAGTAATGACAATAGTTTAAAGAACAGAATAAAAAAAACTACGTCGATTTCTTAAATAGTATGTTCATTTTTTAAATGAGTATTTTAAGCTCTATACATTTTTTTCCAAACATTCTTTTACAAGATTTACGATTTTCTTTAGCGAACAGTTTGATCTCAGGCCAAAATGAAATGTTCGTATGCCATGCTGTAAATTCATTTTATTACTGAAATCAATTTTCGACCATGATATATTTTGATTTGAAATTATATCAGCGTTTATAGTTCTGTTTACACCAGCTCTTTTTTTGCTAAAATAAAATAATGAAATTAAAACTGATGTGGGTAGAGTTTGATGTTACATTTTTATTACATTTATTAACTCTTCAAGATCGTTTCATAACATCAATAAAGTATTTCTATGACTTGAACAGCACAATGCAAAGATGTAATTACAAGCTTTAGAAACGAAATGATATGGCAGAAAACAAAGTTATAAAATTTATTTTCAATATCAACATTATAGGTTGTGTTTATAAATTCATATTTAAATGAAATTGAACGCTTTATTGTGGTTGGAAGGTTATTGTTGATATCACATTTATTGATCAGGAATAATTATTTTTTAATTTATAAGATTTGCTTTAAATACCTGGTGGTATTTTTAGTTAATATATTGCTGGCCCATCTTGTAAAAGTATATGAGATAAAAAACCCTACTAAACAGATAATATTAAGGCATTAATCGAGGGGAAAAAGATAATAAGTTGAAAGCCTTGAACATTGAAAGAGTTAAAATTTTTATGAAGGTTTAATTCAAAAAAAGTTATTAATTTCTTAGCATCATGAAATAGGATAATTTTGCTAACATTTTGAAAGCCTCACTTCGAAAGAGCTAGAAACAAAGTGGCGTTGTTTATGAATTTCTAATTCATTTATATATAGTGGTTTAGAAAATTCATTCAAATGAATAACAAATAATACATTAATATTTAAACTTAGGTACCACTAGAATAGTTTTTGACAAAAAGCGCAGAAATTGGGCAGCCCTGTTTAACTTATGGTGTGTTCAAAGCAACATTTTCGTATTTTCAGAAAAATAAAGGTAACAGCAAAAATTATTTCCCTATAAACATTTATTTGAGAAAAAAAAAAGCAAAGATATTCGTATTTATCGTTATGTAGTCGCTACTTGAATAAATCGTACGCGGTATTTATAAAATTAATACTGTATGAACTTGTAAATAACCATTCTAAAGCAAATAAGCATTTATCGTGACTCCGTGCTCGCATCATGGGATAAAATTAAGTTGGTAAATAAAGGATTAATTTAAGCACAAAATGGAACTCTTGAAATTACTAAATACAGAAAAGATAAGAAAAATAAGAGTCAGTCAAAGATAAGAAAAGGAGAGATTTGCGATATTTGCTTTTCGAATAAAGAGTTCAATGACAAAGGAGCGTTTGATGGTGCCAAGGTCTGAAAGCTGTATAAATATAGGACAGCTGAAAAGTATAGTAAAAGATCGTATTTTTCCTAAACGGGTTGAGAAAGCGGTATCTTTTTAAACTTATAAGCTTATGCGTCAACCACGTCACATTCAGAAAAATATCTTTAATATTTCTTTTAGATTTTAACGAACTTTCATGAATTTTAAAAAGAAAAAAGCTTATTGATATTAATTTCATTTTAAAAAGCAGTTTTTATTTTTGTTTATTCTTCTCTTCCGAGCCCAATGAGTCGAAAGAGAGAGAGAGAGCATTTTATTGCGGTGATTTTAACCCTTAAAAAGCTGCCGTTTATATAACATTCTGTTAAAGAATTATTGTAGTGGTAGCGATACAATTTTGGATATACGACTACTAATGTTCATCTCCATAGTTTTGTAATTTTAAACCTAATCCAGAGGACAAGGGAGCTCCTGAATCAAGTATTGGGGGAAATTTTGCTTTGTGCAGGACTTTTTTAATGGAACTAAGCTGCATTTGTATGGAGAGAAAAACCACGCAAACCTCCCACGGTCAGCTTGACGGCAACGGGAATCTAACCAATGATCCGTCTGCCACTGAGGATATTTTATGTCAGCACTTAGGTCGATTCTATCTGGGGTGGAATTTATGTCCATCGCTGGGGATTCGAACTCGGTTCACCTCATTGGTAGGCGAAAGCTCCATCCCCTGAGCCACCACGACTCAATAATGTTATTACGAAAATGTTATTACTGCAAAAAAAATTATAAATAAATAAATAAATAATCATGTTTTTTTCCCACCACTACCTCTAATTTGTTAGTGCTTTAAGAATAATCGCAGCGAAGTGCTCAAAAATTCTTGCAGCTCGAAGAGAAACACTGAGTTAGTATATTATTTTCTACACTATTTTGTACAACTTCTCTATAACAAGATAGTTATTTCAAAAGGAAAAATATTTATCCTCATTTTTAATTTAAATCTGAAAATTTTTATTTAATAGATTAAATTTATTAATTTAAAAAAAATCTAAGTCAGAAAAGTTAAATATGCTGCTCTTTAACTTTTCACACGAATAACTTTTCTCTTTTACGCAATTTATAAATTTTCCTTAAAAATTTTATTGCGGGAAAATACGTAGAAAAATAGTGAAAGATGTTATGTTTGCCCGAATTTGTTTGTGCTATGTAGATAATCAGCGGGAGTTATTTTTGCGAATTGAGCAAGTTTCAAAAATATTAACCGCTTAAAGAAAGTTTTTATACAAAAAGTCAGTATAGCATTTTTCTCGCTGTTTTTTCCAACGTCAATAGAAAGATAATAAGTTAAAAATAAAATTCTTCAATTAATGATTATCCTTTTTTTTTATCTAAAATTTAAATCCAATAAGATGATTGCGTTTCTTTCCGTTTTAACTTCTCTCGTTTGCACAATTTATCTTTAAGCTTCTTCAGAAAATTATTTAGTTTTTTTTCCGAACAGAATACCTACCTAATTGTATTTTTACGCAGCTAATTCCCCACCCAAGTTGTATAATCATTAGTATTTTTGAAAGCTGATATAGAAGAGATTACTTGTGACAAAGTTCGATTGTTTCAACACAGTAATTTTAGATTGGTGCTCTTACAAATATTAAAATTGAAAACCGTCATCTTCTAATATATTTTATTTTTTAATATCGAAAAGGTGAAACTGCTTTTCAAAACAAAAAATCTTATCCGATGTGTATGAAGAAGATGTATTGACAGTACACGAATGTTAAAACTTACTTGTGAAATTTCGACTAAAAAATCTGAGGATGCACTACGTTGATGAAGCATAAGTTGATGAAGATACAATAAAGACATTAATCGATACTAACTCTTGAGGTTGCTGAGAGATTAAATTTGTCTAATTCGATCGTTCATGAATATTTGAAAAGCCGAAGTTTATTCTTAAAGCTAAGCATACGAGTTCCTCTAGTTTTTACGGAATGAAATTTACGCGTTCGCATCACTCGACTGCTAATAGAAAAACCGAAGAGACCACATACACTACCATGACCATTGACCATAATATAGCCCTCACGACAAACGCGAAAAAAACCTAGGTAAACGTTGCACAGTCCTCGCCTCAAGCGCTCAAAATCCGGTGAACTTAATACAGTTCTCCCGGTACTTCTCAAATATGGTAACTGGTGGTGCGGTATGCATCATTCGAAATCTACCCAAGATAAATTTCTGGGAGGGTGGGGGGGATTGTGGCCACTAAGATAAGTAACATCAATTCACTATAGTATAACACATGTTAACTCAGTTCGAACTTAGCAACTACATTCACTGCTTACCTCAATAAATACATACAAAATGAGTAATATTTCATGATTGATAACGGTTTGAAATTCAAGTCATTTCAAAATTTAGCTACCCTTTCACTAGATGAAGATTGACATGGTCGTAAGATCATTTCCGCACAATTTCAAATGAGAAGGTCAAAAATTTCCAGGATCAGTTTTTTGCCAGTAAAAGACAAAAATTTTATGAGCTAAGAATCACGCTATAGTCAGAAAGATATTGCTCCAGATTGTACTGTATAAAATTCAATGAAATATTTATTCACCGTAAGAAAGTTTTCATAAGAAAAAAAAAAAACGAAATTACTCTCCTTGCCACCCAATATTTTATAATGTCTTCTTGGAAATTTTTTTATGCTAATAAATAAAAAGTTTGTCAAACCTAATTAGTTTTCTTCAATTTATTTGTACAATAAGAATAGTCTGTGCAAGTAATTTTTGCGAGTGGTGAAAGCTTCAAAAATACTTGCAACTAAGAGAAAAGTTGTATACATATAATTAGCATAGCATTTTCCCTACTAGTTTGTAAAATTTCTGAATGAAGGTAATTATTTTAAAATAAAATTTTCCAATTTATCATTATTAAAATTAAATCATTGAAATTATTATAATTTAATTATTATAATCTATTATTTGAAACCTATATCAAAAGGGAAAAAATGTATCTTTTTCTTCTTCAATGTTCCTCTTTTACATAATTTATCTCTTTCATAAAGTCATGAAATTTTATTTTGTCGAAATTGTAAAAAACTAGCCATACCTACTATATTTTTTCTAATTTGTGTGGGTAATAACTATAGTCAGAGTTAGCCTCTTTTGCGAGTAGTAAAATTTTCAAAAATATTTGCAATTGAAAAAAAAGGTTGGATAAAATGAAGTCATAATAAATTTTTTAACTGCCTTGTCCAAGATAATGAATTCAAAATGAAACTCTGCGATTAATAATAATTATATTTTAATTGAAACAGAAGTCAAAACAGACATATATATCATTTCCGTTTCTACTTTAACTTTCCTCTTTGATGGAAATTATCTATTTTATGAACCATCAAAAACAGGATGAATAAACAAATATCTTTTATGGCTTATTAATCCAGAACTGTTTTATAGTGATGTGTACTTTAAACGAATCACAATGTTTAAAAGTTGTTTTTTAAGTGTCATTTTAATCCTATTAAGTCTACCAATCCCATTTTTATCGGGATAATTGATTTAAACTATTATAGTTAACTTTTTTTAACATCTTTTCGAGAAAACATTTATATTTTCCTAACTAAACCATCTGTTTTAGCAATGATTTTTATCATTTTAAAAAGCCAAACTTAAATTTAATTTTTAGTCATAAATTAACACCGTTTTTTAAATTATTAGTACTATAACAGTTATTACTCCAAACAGTTGGTTTGAAAAAATAATTAGCTATTATTGCAAAACGCAAAATGTTGAACTAGAAACTAAGAACTGATTTACATGTAATAAAATATTGCTGCCTGTATCAATTTACATGCATTAAAATGTGTTGTATGTTGTATTGCTCTAATGTATCAATCCCATTAGAAATGATCATAAAAATAAATTTTTCATCTCTTATTACAAGTCGTAAAGTTTTGAGTTGTTGATTAATCGGCATCAAAAAGATTCGCCTAAAAAAAACGCTCATTAAAATAATCAAAACCAAACCTTCAAAAAAGAATTCTGAAATAAATTACTGTACAATAATTACATGAGAATAAATTATAAATTTTGATTAACTGATTTATCTGCATCATAGTATTGCCTGCTTAATGAAAGTTAACTAATATGAATTTTTTTCAGAACTAAATCTGAAACTAAATTACTCCGTTAGTATTACATGACTTAAAATTTGGAAATAAAAATTTACTCACTTGAACATTTTTCTGAAAGGCTGATTTTTCTTTCTGAAAGGCTGAGTTTTCTTTCGGAAAGGCTCATTTTTCTATCTTGCATGGGCTACTCTTGTCATGTAAATTCGAGACAAATTATGGGATAGTTTCGATGCGATTTTCTCATTTTTAAAAGGTTGAAGATATAAGTATATTAAAAAAGCAGCACAAATTCAACTCAACGGTAGTAATAAAAACAAAACAAATAATTACATTTGAAATGACTAATCCAAATTTACGTCTTTTGGGGAGAAAAATATGATTTTGCATTGACTTTAGACTGCATCTTGCATCATCAATTTATTACATCACATGGTCAACACGCTTTTGATTTTTGTCATTTTATGTCTAATCAATTTTAAGTGCGTCTCTTCTTTGTTAAAATAAAACATATATTAAATACACATCAGCCTATCAAGAATGACCAAAACTCTTATCTTTAGATTAAATTAGACAATAAATATGCCGAAATTTGTGTGTAAAAATGACAGAAATTAAGAAGTCAAATATAAAGCCTATTCTTATGGATACTGTGGATGGTTGTTAAGTAAATAACATTTCGAAAATTCGGATCATAAATTAGAATTAAAACGTGGGGTGTTCTGTTTTAAGTGACTTATCGCGTTTTATTTATTCTTTTATCTTCAAAGAATTCAAGCTTTTAAATCTTCGGTGTTACGCACGTGTGGATATAATCATACATAAAGGAGTAAATTTAGATCTATGTCCCAAATAATTAGAATACATATTAACTAAAATGTTTGCCAAAATTCAAATGTTGCGTGATTTGAACAAGAAAATGCTGCTGGCAAAACTAATGGGACAATGGGACAGCTGCTTTAGTTCAGGGTTACAGAGTACTGCGCCATTCAGCAACATGTGCTTCCATAGTCGATAAGTATTGTAAAATATGCTGAAGAATTACCTAGCCTCGCAATTTATGGCCCCGGTGGGCAGAACTAGTCCCCATGCGTTTAATGCCAAAAAATGTCCCTTGTTCTTCTTTTTTCTTAATCCTGTTCCCGCTGTTCCCAATTTTTTGCAGTTATGGAATCCTAAATAATCTAACTTCTTCCGGCGGAACATCAACATCATAATTAAAATAAAGAATAATGTGCACGTATTAAGAATTAAAAGATTATTTTATTGTGGGTTTTAGACTTTTTTTTATAGTTAATAATACAGGGTGCTTATAAAGTCCCGGACCCATTTTGATGTTTAATAACTCATAAAATAATAAAGATAGATTAAAATTAATAACATAAATGGTTAGATAGACTCAAAAAGTTTCATGACCCTTGCCAATGAACTTCCACGTGTGATGATACCCACATATACCTACGTATTCGATGATACCTTCGTATTTCCACAACTAGAAGAGCTTCAGTCACATGTCTTTTTACAACAAGATGGTGCACTACCTCATTGGGGTATCATGGTTCATAGTGCTTTGAATGACCATTTGCCAGGAAGATGGATTGAGCGAGGAGGTCCAATTCCTTGGCCACCCAGATCACCTGATATAACGCTGCTGGACATTTATAAAGGACAATGTTTACAGGAGAATCGTGTCGAACATTGATGACCTAAAAGCCAGAATTGCAACCGCAATAGCCTCTGTGGATGCCGACAAGCTTGCCGCTACCTGGCGTGAAATTGACTATCGACTTGATATTCTCCGTGCGACGAAGGGGGCACACGTGGAAGTTCATTGACAAGGGTCATGAAACTTTTTGAGTCTATCTAACCATTTATGTTATTAATTTTAATCTGTATTTATTATTTTATGAGTTATTAAACATCAAAATGGGTCCGGGACTTTATAAACACCTTGAATGAATGAAATTTTTTAATCGTTTTATCCTTAATAATCTTTACTTAGGTTTTATGTTCGACAGTTGAATTCGCAGCCCTGGAGATGAATCTAATCTAGCTAAAAAAATTTATATGACTATGGGGAAAAAAACTGCTATAAACGTTTTAAATTAATACTAGAAAAACATATTTGTTTTTAAAAAATTCAATTATTTGATTTTGATTTGCTAAGTGCAATGTTAAATGCTATTGCAATTTTTTATAATTGCATATGCATACTAAATTTCGTTTCTCTTTTTTTTGGCATTTCACTTTAAACATACTTTTATAAAAGTAATCCAAATAATAAATAAATAATCAAGTATTGATTTGAACTAAATATAATTACAGATTACAACGATAAAAAACTATTTAAACAAAGTATTAACTCTAACTTTTAATGCTTTAACACTAGATTGCCTAAGGAAGTCATTTTGACTGCTTTTAATTTCAATTAGAAAAACAATGATGTCTATAATGACACAATTTCTTAGAATTTTATGACTTTTTGTACAACATATAATTTTTTTATTGTTAATATTTACTAATAACTTGCTAAATAACTGTAAATAATATAAAAAATGTTAAAAATTAATTTTAAACAAATTTATTTACGCATTCACAATCCTGTCATTTTGACTGCTTTTAGGCAATGTAGGTATATACTAATTTTCCGTCTTTCTAGTGTTAATGTCAAGATAAATATCGAGGTTTCTGCCTGACAGCACCTGCCTCTAGTTATTTATTATAGGTGCTACAAAATTTTGATGTCGTAGAACTGCAAAATTACTACAATTTGAGAACTGTAGTAATTTTGTAATAGTTCCAACCAGTGGCGTACGCAGAATTTTTTCAAGGGGGGTGTTCATAATTTTCTGAAACTACTAAAAGAAATTCGAGTCTGTAATAAAGCACTATTATTTCCCTAATTTAGACAGCTAGACAATTTTGACTTTTTATTTAGACAACATTGTTTGGTTAAATTTTGATTTGATTTTTTAAGTTTAAGAACATAATGTAATATCTTCTGAAAAAAGTCCAATGTCATATGGGTGGGAAGTAACACTTTGAGGGCCACTTTCACATTCATCAGATTTTGTTATGCTAGAAACGTTTTCTTCAACGAAAGTATCACATTTCTGTACAACAGAAAAACTTACATTGATACTAGATGCTGTCACCTCACTAATTTCAGGTCGTGATTTTTTCTCAAAATAATTAAAAATTGTTAAATTCTTACGTTTTGACATCCTAAAGATCCAAGAACAGTAAATATATATATTGGCACAGAAATAAATGCTATGCTCAGGGCCGGCGCGTACGCGGGGACCTAGGCCATTCAAATTTTTGGGGCCCTTCGATTAAGTTGTTTTTCTCGTATATTTTTTATTTATTCAAATATAAAAGTATTTATATATCTTTTCATTTCAGAAAGCATGTTTAAAATTAAAATAAATAATAATAAATTGAATTTTACTTTATTTTGTTAAATTAGAACTAAATTTTAATCATAACATTTTGAAAAAATTTTAATATATATTTAAAATTGATTTTTTTAAAAACAATCATTGTTTTTCTTAATTTTTTAAAATTTATTTTCAAAAAAATCCATTTTAAGGGGGCCCCTAATTATTTGATATTACATCATCCACTGTACTCCGTTCCCCCTTTTATATAATTTTTCACCGCATCTCCAAAATTCTCGAATTGTCTCAAAGACGACAGCACGTCTAGGATTACAGAATCATCGCGTAAAGATCTCGCGAATGACGGCCAGTCTCGAAAACTATACTGGCAGGACAGAAAGGAACTAGTCCGTAACAGTATCACGTGAATTTGGTTTCAAAAGTACAACCCTATTATAGTAAATGTTTTTTCAGTATTCTGAGAAATACCGTGAGAAAAAAAAGTAGGCATAAAGCAGATAAAAATATATTGTCTTAAAAAATAATAGATCGCATAATTTCTACAAAAATTTCTATTTTTGTCATTTTGTCTGAGCTCAAGGGGGGTGTTTAAACCCCTAAACCCCTCCCTTGCGTACGCCACTGGTTCCAACCCTAAAAATTGTACAGTAAGTATACAGAAATAGTATTAGATTATTTGGTGGTGCCATCTATCGTGAGTGATGAGAAATTCTAGACTTTTGTGTTAAGCAAAAGCTCTGTGTAGTCTATTCTGATAAAGGTCAGGGACAATAAATAAAGAGTGCAGGACACTGAAAACTCTTCATGTGATGAAGGAATGTTAAAATTTTGTCTAAGTTGAGAGTCCAACTCTCGTTTACTCGCTCGTTAAATAGACATAAGGGAACAAATCCCTCTCGCGCGACAAAAGAAAAATTAAAATTAGGAAATTTTATGTGGCATGTTTTTCACTTCACTATCGAAAATGAATTGTAGAAAATTTCTGCTTTAAATATGAACAATTTGAAATGTAAGTCTTAGTGGTAACTACGATTGAATAATTAAAGAAATAATAAATAAAAATTGAACTCAGTTTCTACCACTTTTAACATTTAAAGTCGCCTGAGGCATTTCTGTAGTTCAGGAAAAATATCTTGGTTATGTTATCAAAGCAGATAAAAACAGTCAATCAACTATTTTTCCCACAGTTTACATTTTAAATTCCGTCTTTTTTTTTTTTTGGTTATTTGATTGTTTCGGGTTATGGAAAAATAACATTAAATGAACTGTTAATTAACCATTTTTTTCCGGGAAATATCTAACAATGTAGATTCGCATCTTTTGCATTGTTCATCTTAGCTTCTGGATTTGTCATTCTTTAAGTTTTTACAACGAATTTTGAAAGCAAGCAGTTCTATAAATTTTACGCTTATTAATAGTCAATTGAAAATACTACGAACCACATTTTTTTTTAAAAGCAAAGCTATTTATTTAGTTTAATTTTTTTTATTTTTGAGCAATGAAAAAGTTAGCTTATTTTAAATTATCTAAATTTGAGACAAATTTCATAAACAGACTGAAATTAATAAATTTAAGAAGGAGAAGTTTATCATTGAAGCTAATAAATCTGGAATAAAATATCCACTTTTAAATTCAAAGATGAAAAAGTGTTTGATATTAAGTTTTTGGATACCAAAACTACAAATTTATTTCAATTAGACAAAATTATAACTATTCAGGATAAATTCAAATAAAAAAAACTTATAAATTTTAACTACTTATACTTTATTATAATATTGTTTTCCTAACAACTTCGTGTAAAAGCAACTTTTTTAAGTAAAAAACAAGTGAATAAAGAATAAATTAATAAGTATAAAATTTGTTTTAAAATTATTAAAATATAGAAAGATTGAAAAACTAATTTTTTGCGGAGTTTAAAATTATCAAATTGAGCAGATGTCTGTTCACTTCTTCTAAATTATAAAATAACTAGGAGGCTCCACCCCCCGCTCGCTAACGCTCGCCAACCCCCGAGAATTGCTACGCAATCCTATGTGGTTCACTTCGTGAACCATGGCTCGCTGCGCTCGCTCGCCTATGAACACAATGTTCTAGCACAAAGACATAGTATATTATCATCAAAGACATAGCATTTTATCATCAAAGACATAGTATTGTACTTATGTAGAAGAATTCTATCAATGTTCTTATTGGCTTTTAAAAAAGTATATTAGCTATTTAGATTGTACATGGTGAAAAAATCAAAACATTAGCTAAATGAGAAACATATTAGCAAAATAAATTATCAAATATTGCAGTTACTCACCTAAATTCAACTAAATGTGTATAATAAATTAGTTAATGCTAGAAATTCTGAAAGTTTTAGAAAAAAATTTTATTATTTAAAAATATAAACTTTAAACCCTAACTTTTCCTTGTGAGATAATAACCCTCAAAAAGTCTTTCATTTTCAAGAACACAAAAATTTGTTTTATCGCCAAATGAAATATTTTTTGGTGATCAGCATTATTGAAATCAATTTCTATATTAATTAACATTTGTGATAAAGTACATAACATTTTAGAACAAAATAAGGATGTTTTACATACAATAAATTAAAATGCATGGCTGTTAGCATTACCCGAGAAATACCACGTGGAGGTCGCCATGCTGCATTTCTAATCGGGGAGTTTTGATTTTGGCAGTTCCCCTTGCCTACTGCCAATAGAAGTTTCAATTAAATTTTTTCCAAAAAACATTTTTTTCTGCAAAGCTCTAAGAAATTAACACTAAGCATTTAGAATTTCTTTGAAAACACAATTATAGATTTGGCATCTTGGAGCAATTACTGAAAGGCTGTCAAATGACTTAACTCTTGACAGGCCAACATAAAGTTGTCCATGACTAAAAACTTGTTTAGTCAATACTAAACTGATTTTCTCAAAAGTCTGACCTTGTGACTTATTTATAGTCATGGAGAAGGCCAGCCTAATTAATTCCTAATTGAGTTTAAATTAAATATTATCATGTTTTTAGGGCATGAATCTGAATTGAACAACCTGATAATGCTCACTCTGGTTATTGTTTCCGTTTTTAAAAGCGCTATATGTTGAGCCAGTTTAAATTAAATATTATCATGTTTTTAGGGCATGAATCTGAATTGAACAACCTGATAATGCTCACTCTGGTTATTGTTTCCGTTATTTAAAGCGCTACATGTTGAGCCACCTCATGTGACATTTGCCACGTGACATTTTTAGCAGCAATCATTGGTAGATTTTCTAACGTTGCCATTCGGTGAGTTGTAATGAGGCTTTTTTTTTTTGGTGCCGTGTAAGAGAAATATATATATAGATTTCAATCATGTCAAATATGTATTTTATGCATTTATTTTATAAATATAGATATTAAACATTAGTTCAGGCTTTAATATTTATGTTTAGAATCCTTATCTAAATCTAAGAAATTATTATTCTGAAAATAATATGTAATCAAGAAAAAACAAACAAAAACGTTAAAAAAAACAGCCCTGCTAACTACTACGTTGTTAGCAAAATGTTGCATAGAGCGGTAGCCGTTTAAAAACTAAAGGTTTCATATTTTTCGGTAACTTTGTCAACATTTTAAGAGCACCACTATGAGACAGCTAGAACAAAGTGGCTTTGCATATAAATTCTTAAATCATTTATGTATAAAGTGGTGTGGAAAATAAGTATAAATGAATTAAAAAAACATTAAAACAGTAATTCTCAACCATTTTTTTGTTGCGGCACACTTTTGACGATTTCGAAATTTGACGGCACACTATGAAAAAAATTCGATTAAAAGTTGTTTAATTACCTATTTTACACTGTGTTAAATAGTTTGCGATAATAATTTCGAACGTGAAATAAAATAATGTGTACTAAAAAAGCACATTTATTAAGGGATTAATTATTTCTTTCGACCAATTTTTTATTAGTTAGTAACAGTTATTTATTTATTTTTGCTAGTTATTAACTGTTAGCTTGTTTTCTATAGTTATTAACTGTTAGTTTTTTTTTACATTAACTGTTATTTTTTTGGGATTTCTTGTTAAGTAGTTTTTTTTGCTAATTATTAATTGTTAGCTTAATTTTTGTTAGTTATTCTTTGTTAATTTGCTTATTAATTGCATAGCTTACTTTAATGATTAGCTCTTACCACATTTTTTTAAATTTGTGCGTCATATGCAATTTAAACAACCATCTTATTTTAAGACAACCCTCTTATTATCAGAGACAAGACAATCGCCGACAAAGATGTTCACGCGGTTAAAGAGTGGAAAAATTATAAAAAGTATATATATATATATATGCACTTTTCTTTCATTTAAACTTTACTCATAATAAAAAAAAGCATTATAATTTTTATTGTATCATTTCTAATATTTGGCGGCACATTTTAAGAATTTAGCGGCACACAAAAGTGCCGCGGCACAGTGGTTGAGAATCACTGATCTAGAGACTAACATTTTAATTTGAGCAAAATCTATATTATATAACAGAATAAAATATTTCCTGTTGTGAATATGCCCTTTATATATTCATTCAACTTTTCTCTGTTTCCTTAGAATAATAAAATAATTCCATATAATAATGCGAGATTAACTATATCAAGGCCAAAAAAAAAAAGATTATGGCAGGTGACAAGAAATAAATTTTGAGACGTATATTTGTAGATTATGTACTTAAAAATTATATTAAAATAAATATTTTGTTTCCCCCTCGATATTGAAATTTATCCTCTAATTTCATGTTTTAAGTTTATAATTAGCCTCTCAAGACCAATGGGAAAAAATGAGGTTTGTTTAGTAAAATTTTTCAAATTGAAAACAAATGGGTCTCATTTCATTAAATGCTCAAGTGTAGAAAGAAAACGGGGATTTAATTTTGTTATTACATAATTTTTTGAATTCTACAGAAAAAATAGAAATACTTAGTGCAAATGAACATGACTAGGATTAATGTTCACTTATTGATTGATTGATTCGCAAATCATAAAAAATATATAGAAAACTGAAAATTTTGAAAAAAAAAATAACAAAGTTCATAAACCAAACGTAATATTTTCTTATAAAATATTAATTTAAAATACCATTATATTTTATAAATAATGTACTTTTACAACTTGCTTTGTTGACTCTATATAATATGAGCACATTGCTTTCTAAAGAATTTTGATTTTAAACACTTAAAATTTCGATAAATTATTCAAACTTAAATAAAAACTCATTTTTAAGTTTCTTACAAAATTATTAACTTTTTTTTACTATCAAATGTTAAATGTAGAATCCAAATTATGAATGTTTTATGTTTTTAAAAGAACATAACCTAATTTGGACCTTTAATTTCTAAAGTTGTATTTAATAATAATTAAAGATTTGTTGAAGAATTAAGCACAAAATAAAGAAAAATGGAAGTAATCAACTATTTTATTTTTTTAAAAAAACTTAAGTTCTATATATAAGACAACAGTATAAAAATAAATATATAACAATAACTTTTATAAAAATTTTAAATAACTCTTAATAATTGGTGTAAAATAGAAAAATACTGTCGTGCAAAAGAAAAATCAACGTAAGCGACAAAATAATCAAAATTGAGATATTAATATAATTGGAATCTTTGTATGATATGCTACATACTGCAAAAAAAAAATTTTTTTTTTTCAAAAGCAAATTTTGTTTCATGAGTTTTCTGAAATTCTATTTTAGCGTTTGTAGCATTAGCAATGGAAAGAAAATGGTTGTCAAACCACTTTTCTTGAAATTAATTGTGATACATATACATTGCTTTTTCAATTGCACATCAAAATTATTAAAAAGCTCTGTAATCTCAAATTTTTTTTAAATGTTCAGCAAAATATTATTCAAAAGTTTGGCTTAAAACAGATTTAATTTCTTCTTGGTGTAGTTTTCCAATTCCTACAGCAGGTGTTCCTAATGGTCTTCGTCCAGCGTATTTTAGCTGTTGAAAATAAATAATTCAAAACATGTATTAGTTTAAAAAGATAAAAATGATATTAAAAAAGAAGAAATTATAAGAACTAATGCAGCAAATATTATCGATGGTTTTATTGTTATAGTGCAATGATCATATTTTGGTAATTTTGAAAATATTTTGTCAGATTTGAAACATTGGTGGGGAGTTGTGGTGAAATTTCTACTTCTTATAGTGAGTAAAATTAATAGAATGTTGGTTATTCTAGAATGTCCTTATTAAATAGGGATTACTACTTATCGATAAAGCTTGAATACTTTTTAAAATAAAATTACCCATTGTTTTTATCATGCTCTTATTTTAAATCATTAATAAATAAATAAAAAGTTTGATGTAAAAAAAAAAAAAAAAAAATCATTACTAACTTTAATTACTAAATCAAATCAGGCTTATTTGAAATTTTCTTTTAAATAAGGAAAATTAAAGATACTAAAAAAAAAAAAAGATGATCTAACTTTTCCACATTAATTTTATTTAATTTCCCTGATTTTTGTAACCGATGATGTAAATTTTATTGTTAATTTTTCAGTTATACTTTATACTAATGAAAATATTTCATATTTGCTTTTAATATTGAAAATGGGGAATTTGTTAAAAAAATTATTGGATTTTTAAGTACTTTGAACTCAAATTAATTCATTTTCTCTGACTTTTTGAGTAATTCTAAATTTGCTGACATTTATCTGATTTTTCCTAATATATAAAAATTCCTGGACTTTTCTTTGTTCTGAGGCCTCCTAGTATAATGTTCCCAATTGTACTTAACAATAATTTCAGTGTTTTTATCATTCAAAAATAAAATCAAAATATGCAGTTATTTTAATTGGTTTTGATGTACCCTAGTTTCATCTTGTATGACATTGATCATGATATTTGAAAACTACCATGCCTAGTCTAAGGTCTTTGTTATCTGCTTTACTATCTTTCAGCAACTTTTTTTAAAAAATATGGAATAAATAATTTTAAAACAGATTTTAAAACATAAAAAATGATGCATTTTCATTTTTAAACTATGGTTTATAAACAAAATATTATGCATCAAGATACTTCATAGTTTATAAACCATGACACTGTAATGTTTAATAAGTTATAAAAAATTTTGATGTTATATTAATTTTTTTCTTGAAAATATAAAAGTAGAGTTTGATATAAAAAGTAGGAAACAACTACAATAAAATTAAATAGACACATAAATACATAATTGAAACAAACATTAATGGTGCAGTAAATAAAATAGAATGTGCACACATCGAGTTACATACATTGCATCCTAATAGGTTACGGAAGCGAGGTTGAATAAAAGTCCAAGCACCCATATTTTGATGCTCTTCTTGAGACCATATAAATCCTATAAAATAAAAATATAAAAATTTAGTATTTTTAAAATGAAGAACCAATCACAGTGTATTTTGAAGTCAGTGTAATTGTTGCAATCAATACAAATGAATTATTCTCCAATATTATCAAAGTCATTATAATCCTTTTAATGTTGACCTCAGCTTTTTAAGCTGGTGACTTATATCTAACAAAAAAACTGGCTAAACTCGTGTTTCTATATAATAGAACACTTCAAAGATTTCTTTTAAGTCTAAAGGGCTAAGACCCAGCTAACAAAGGTATTTATTATCTGTTCTTCTCACAGGTTTTGAAATTCCAAAGATAAAAAGCTCGTTTTTCCCAGTTTTGGAACTATTTTAAGAGTTTACAAAGGCAATCTACTCTTCTAAAGCCACTCATAACACTTTTATTTTTGACTTATTTACTTGCTAGTTAACTTATCATACTGCCATAGTGTACTTTTGAATTGTATGTAAATTTTAAAGATACCAGCTAGTTTATAAAATATTTTTGCCAAGAGAATTCATCACTTTTTCTAAGTCTTTAGAACTAATATCATAGCATTCATTTCGACAAAAATTTTGAATTTTATTATTGTATGCCAGTTGTGTTTTTCTCATTATTGTTTTGTAAGATATACTCATGGAACAAATTTTAAAATATTATTAAAATAAGTGGTGGGTCATGCCAAATCAGCAGATATAGCAGGCCCAATCAGTAATGACGACCATACACTGGTACACAAAATAAAGAGATAGAAAACATTTTCACACATTTCTATGACGCTATTTCTGGACGGTTATTGATATGGAGGGAACCTGGAACCCGATACCATCCCAGCAACATTATCGAAAGGGACCATTATGCTGGTGGAGGACTCATGGTTTGGGCAGGGATCATGCAAGATACCNTTGCCAACCGTGGAAAAATACGCATTAAAAACTATAAAAACAGCAAGATACAATATCAATTCCAACTATCGAGAGTACGAGTTTCCCGACTCCTGAACGGACGTCACTCGATAACGACATGTCATGTGACGTCATTGCATTCAACTCCACACGAAAGAAGAGGTAGATTTCACCCGCCCCCAGTGTAAGGGGGCGGGTGAAATAGGAGTGTTTTTAGAGGTAACGTTGAAGAGGGGGGGAAATAAAGCATGTTCAGCTACGGTTCAGGCAGATGGTAGTTTGATAAGAGGGGATGGAATTCAAGCTGAAAGAAAAACTTACCTTCGCACTCGCGGAAAAATTAGGTAATTTTGAGTTTGGCCGTCGATCGCAGTAAAATTCGGGAGTTTTTCAAATCAATTCCGGAGGGCGGGAGAATAACTCAAAATTCGGGAGACTCCCGCAAAATGCGGGAGAGTTGGCACGTCTGCACACTGTAAAAGCCTCACTTTTATTGTCATCTTTTATCCTTAAGTTCAGACTACATTAGATTTATTGGCAATAGGTCTTGCCAGTGAATGGCACTTTCATTTTTGTTTTGCATACTTTATTATCATGGAATAAGATATATCCATACCGCATTTCATTTATTTATATTCAGTATTTTTTAAGATATTTGGGAAAATGTCTTTCATCTCTTAATTTTGTCGACCAGTGTAGTTTAGAGATGATGTTTGTAATGATGGTGGTCAATGTGTTGCCTGACACCTGGAGGCACCTATTACATGTGCCTTTTTAAAGACACCAAGTGATACAATAATTCTTCCTACTAAGTCTCCCTACGATGAAATATGTATGTTTAAAAAAATATGTATTGGAGATTGGAGGCAAATCAGCAGATCATGTTAACAATGTGATGGGAACTCTTCTTTTATTTTGCAGTTCCGTATAGTATTTGAGATCACATGTTTCTATGTGATATTTGAATGCCTGCTTTGCCACTTGCTTTTAGCTAGGTTATTTTGAAGCACACTGCATATTCATTTTTTTATGTTCTTTCCTTATAATGCATAAATTTTATTTCCAATTCATCTCAGACCAAAAAAGTATGTGTTCTATACTTTTAAAATATTTTATAGTTAAATTTTTACAGTATTATGAACAATATAAGTTTGTTTAAATGAGTGCCAGTTTGTTAGGAAATATTATATTAAAAAAAAAAATTTCTCCCAAATTGTGTGCAAAATAATTTTTTCAAATTTTCCTGAGTATTGGTGTTAAAATTTTTTATTTTAAGTATTTTGATATTAAATGTATAAAATACACCACTTGCATAAGTAGCAATGAGATAAAATAAATTACAACTTAGGAAATTGTATGGTTTTGAAATTATTGAAGAATATCAAAATTAAATTTATAATTATGAAGGAGAAAAAAATTTTGCAGCTTAAAAAATAAAATAAGAAGGTTAACAAAACTTCTTACTTTTAGCATTCTGAAAGCTTTGCATTTCTTTGTGAATCTCTTCTACTGGAAAGGGTGATAACTTCTAAAGAGACGAAGGGAAAACAATGGGTTAGATTTAGTACATGACATCAATGTAATGAGCTTTACAAGATAAATATTTACAAAGAAATATTAAACAGATTCTTCAAAGAAATTTTTGCATAAAAATAATAAAAAGTAATAAAGGATTACAAGGAAATATTTAAAAAAATATTAACTGTAATTTAAAATGTACATTGATGAACAGAGGAGAAAAAACAATTGGTTAGGTTTTGGTATATGATATTGTTCATCTTTACATAATTCATATTTATAAGACTAACGCTAAATTGATTTTTCAGGTGAGCATTATAAATATGAATAAGAAGAAAAATTAATTATTAAAATGTTTTTGAGTAAACTTCTGATAAGAGGGAGGGAAAACAAATAGTTAAGTTTTTGGTATGATATTGACGAGTTTAATAAAATTCATGTTTTGAAAAGTAATAATATTAAATTGATTCTTGCACAAAACTATTATAAATAAAAAATAAGAACGGAAAAGTTGGGGAAAATTTTCAATTAAATATGAACTAAAGTTTAAAACAAATTTTTTTGTGTGGCAAACTTAAGTAAAAAAACATTCAAACCTCAATTCTTATAATTGCATGATCATTCAATTTTCTATTTTCTCTCTCCTTTTGCAGCAAATAGAAGTGTTTACCAGAACAAAATATAACAGTTTTCACATTTTCAGCAGATACAGAATTATCTCCTAAAACAGACTTAAAGCTTTTCCCAGGAGCCATGTCTTCTAGAGATGATATTGCATTTGGATCACGTATAAGAATTTTTGGGGCAACAACAATCAAAGGTTTCTTTAACTCACATAGCATCTAGAACAAAACGTAAATAAATGAATGCAATTTTTAAAACTCCTACAAAGAAATAACATAATATCTAACAACTAGCATTAAATTTATTAAAAATTAATCCTTCAACAAACGAAATAGCATATAGAATAAGCTAGAATAAATTCTATGTTATGTGCTGCTCGTAAAAAAAAAAAAATACATTTTCTAAAAATTAAAAAATGCTTATAAATTTTGAATTTATTTCAGTTTAAAATATATTATAAACAAAACTCAAATTTGATCATTGGAAAAGTTTTATGTTTTTCCTTTCATAGACATTATTTTTGTAATTATGAGTACAGTGTGTATGCAATGTTACTCCCTCTATAACTTTTGATCTAACAATCAGAATTTTACATATTATAATGTATCTTCACGTTCTAAAGTTCAAATATGAGATACACCAAATAGAGATGATTAATTAAAGAAAAAAAAGTTAAAAACAAAGATATTATTTACTTAAAAATAAATCTTTCATTCCTTCAAATTATGATTACATATTTAGAGGCAAGCCTACATTGACCAACAAAAACATACAAACAAAAAACAAATATTGAGGGAAGGGAAAAGCTGCCCCTTAGTTATAATTGCATTTAAATAACTCACAGCAATGAATTTGGAATGAATAAAGAAAAAAATCGATTAATAATGAATACCATTCATAACGCTTAACTATTTTATTTACTTATCATTATTTTTTGTTATCTTGAAGATAACCCAAACATCAGGTTAAGGGGTACCAACTTGATTGAGAAGAAAAGCTGGTCGATATGCGATGTTGACCACATTGTCGCTATCATGTCATTGGTTTCTGATCTATGGAGTTTTAATTTCCATGACCCTTTTTGCTAACAATTGGTTATTGTAGGAATTCTTTACTTACTCAAAACATAACTTACATCAAATACTTCTTTTAAAATCTTAAGGCAAAAAGTATTTTAAAAGCAACTTTGTCTTTTATTCACATCACACTAGTGCAATGAAGAATATATAAGAAATATTATTGAATAAGGTTCTTTTACATCAAATGTAGATTATTTATTGGATATAAGTAAAGGAGAAGCAATAAAATGCTTTGCAATCTCAACTCAATTGTTATACAATGAAATAAATAAATTAAATGTACAATGTTTGTAAATTTGCTTATGGAAATCATTTTTATATGCCTGTGAATGAAGCAATCGCAGAGAGTCAATATGCAAGTGAAATAATAAAAAATTTAATTATAAAATATTTTTATTTCTAAACACTTGAGTTTAGTTTGAACTTCATAAAGGTCATATGATATTATTTTAATAAGATATGATATTCATTTAATAAGATATGATACTCATTAAATAAACTATTTATCTTTCATCAAATAACTTTTAAAAAAATTAATAAAAGAGAGATACCTGAGACTTTTATCTTATATTTTACAAATAATTGAACAAAATAAAGTTGACATCAAAATTTTATGAAAAAAATAATTTATAATTATAATAGATTATTTGTTTAATACATAAAGATTGTGAGCCTTGGTTTGAAAAACTAAATATGAAAGGGCTCTTAAACAAATATGAAAGTGTTATTGAACATGCACAGACATGCTCGATAACACTATCATATTTGTATCATTTACTATCTTTAATCAAATTAAAAAAATCTTTTTAAAAATAACCTTTTTAGTTTAAAATTGTTGAACTGATTGTTCAGCAGTAATTTTTTTAATAATAATCAAGTCTATTTTTATAATATATTTGAATGACTGTTCTGGTTAAATGTAGTAGGTGGTTATCAACGGAATCATTATCAAACTGACATTGGAGTAATGGAGAAAAATAGTTTTTTGAGCACACATTCACTCAGTTTAGGTACATAAGTATTGCTACGATTAGAATCACATAATTTTGATTAAAAACAACTCTTTGAATTATGATAGCAAGAAAGAGTTTATTCTGGCCTTGGACTAATGATGGTATGGCTTCACTTTTCAGCTGCTATTTCTACTCCTTCCAAAACATGGAATTGAACTTTTGAAATCAGGAGAAAAAAGTTTTAGATTTAATCCAATTTCAATTAAGGAATATAAATTGATGGTACAAATAAATACTAGATTTTATGATGGTTATGACTCATAGAATTGTTTCTTTGAAGTACTCTATATTTCAATTAAAAAGAATTGAATAATTGTTTTTTTTTGTATTCTATATTTGAGTTGAAAAGAATCGCCGTCCAGACTGTGGAAGCAAGGTTGGCCCACCTAATATGATGCCCCTGAAAGAGTGGCCAACAAATCTACCTTACTCATACCTTAATGACGATTGTCAATTGGGAGGGCATTGGGGAAAATTTAAAAGAATACACTGTAATAAATTATATATATATTTAAAAACAATTTTAAGATATTTAGTTTTGCAATCAAAATAAACAAATTTAAATAAAAAAAAGTGTCACTAACTTGATGTCTTAGAAGATGAAAATATTGAGCAGGTGTTGTAGGATTAGCTATGTGCCAATTAACATCATCACTATCGATTTTATCTTCAGAACTATCACACATCTACAATTAAGAAAAAAACATTATTTCAAAAACATCAATCAGATAAAGATAGTATCCAAATCTTTTTAAAATTATTTAAACATTTATGAATTAATGAAGAATTAAAATTAATGAGAAGCGCATAAATATTTATAAAACCTCTTCAAGCATCATACACACATAAAAAAAGCTAATTTGTGGAGAACAAAAATCCCTTCACAAATACAATGACAGGAATTTAACATGTTAGGAAAATGAATGGGAAAAAAGTAAACAACAAAGAGAAAAAAATAAATGAGCTGCATAAAAAAGATTAAGATAATGATCACAGTATTTATAAACAACTAAACAAATAGAAGTATTAGATAAAACTAATATTATTAAATTAATTTCAAATAAATTTTTTGAGAAGATGAAAATTTTACAAAAACATTTGGTAGATCTGGAATTTAACATTTTTCTTAAAATTAGTGGGAAAAAAACTGGCATAACTTATAGATAAGTGAATAGGTGTCCAATCAAAATATAATAATCAAAAAGGGAAAAAAATTTACATGATGTTACCCATTTACAATTTTAGAGTAAATGGATTTTTTATGTTATTTTTATGTATTTATGTTGAGTTGAAAGAAAAAGTATATGATTATTCATTCTTATTTTTTTAAAATTTAATAAAGTTTTAAAGCAACTTTTTTAATACAAGAATAAAAATAAATATGTTGAAACAATTTAGGAAAAGACTGGGCAATAATCAAATAAGAGACATGCTTCAGATTTAGACTTCTCATTTGGGAATAACTATAGAAAATTCAAACGAAAATTTCTTATTTTTGATTTAATATTAAAAATAGATAAACTGTTTGTGGATTTGAAATATAGATTTGAAGCATTAAATTCATAAAATTGTGATTAAAAAAAGGATAATTTTCTTCCCAACCCCCTGAAAAAATTGCTGTCATTGAAGTAATAACATGAGAAAATATTTTATACTGTCATAAATATACTTCAAATAGATATTTTTTTTTAAAAACATTAAATGCAAAAAATACATTACAGTCTAAGATTTAAACATATTTATTTTGAACTAGGAAGTATTAAATTTATAATAGACATTAATGAAAAAAAATTTCTATACATTTGAACAAGTAAAAATATTTGAAGGACATCTGGAATGCACGATCACTTCTTATAAAGTAAAAATTTTCAGTTTTACTTAAGTATTTATGATAGGATGAAAAAAAGGATATAATAAAAATGTGATTGCATAAAACATTTAGTAAAAAGAGAATAAATATACATACAAAAATAGTTAAAAATGTTAATGAACTATTCTAAGAAAAATTCTTTTAAAAGCTTTATCTGACATTTAAATGAAATAAAACATTCTTTTTATTTTCAAAGATACAAGTATTTATTACGGTATTTGTATCCTTTCACAAAGTTAACTGAACAATATATTGTAATATTTTAAATAAATGCACACCAAATAATAAATTGGGACTTAATTTTGCAAACCAATATTTCATTTTTCATGCAATTTAACATCATTTTAAAACTATAATAAGAGTTTTAAGATCAAAATATTCATTAAAACCCTTAAATATATATTTTTTTAGTTTTAAATGTTTAAAGGAACCTAAAGCAAGAGAATGTGGCACATTAAATGTTTAAAAAAAATTCAAGAAAGATTTGCTTCTCAAGTCATAAGAAGGAACAAGTTCAATATTTTTGTTATTATACAATATAAATGGGGAAATAGGTGTATGGGGAATAGCTAATTTTCAAAGGTGTTTCAAAAGATGATTTTTTTTTTTTTAGTTCTAATATCAATTATGTTTCTCACATTATTAGCACTTTACATATCTCAAATTTTTATTGGATCTTGCAACATAGATTGTATCACAACAGAACTTAATAAGCCCCATTCACATTTATTTACTTTCAGTGAAAATTACTTCAGTAACAGACTTAAGATGCAGTCTAAAAAATCGCACACAATAACTTAATATTCTATTCAATGTGCTAACAGAAAGTGAAAATAACATCTGATTTTCAATTACAAAAAAAAAAAAAAAAATGAATAAAGGAAATGCTTAGAAAGTTTAGGTATTAAAATTAATAATGACCAATTTAGATTAATGTTCAGACTTTGAAATAAATAAAAAAGAAAGATTAAATTATTAAACTAGTAAAATAATAACATATAATCATTAGAAATGATAATAGAAATACACCTGCAGGAACCGTTCCATTCTACACGAGGAGTGTTCTGGTCCAGCACCATCATAACCATGAGGCAAAAGAATCACTAATCTGCTGGGTAAAAGCCACTTTGCTGAAAAAAATATATAGTACACAAACTGTTTATAATATTTTAATGAAGAATATTACTAGTACAATTTGAACGTCTTAAATTTAAAGACCTCAAGATTTCAGGCTTTAAATAACATTTAAAGCAACATAAAATTTTTTTTAAAGATAAATCAAAGTTTGTAAACATATATACAGTGAAATGTTTTAAAAATTTAAACAGGGATAACTAGAATTTTGTTTAATTTAAACTATCACTGATTTCTAGATTTTCATTCTGATACTGATGAAATTTTAACATGAATTTTATTTTTTCATTTGAAAATGGTCACAAAGGATAATAAAACATTTGTATGAACCTGAAAGCTTAAATTTTTCAAGAAATGATAATGAGTAAAAAAGTGAATGAAATAGGAAAATAATAAAACAATGGATGAAAATAGAAATAAGATGAAAAAGTAAAATATTTAATGTAAGGTGTTTTTAGTTATAAAAAAATCATAAAATACAATCCTTTTGTTATTCACTTTATTTTAATACAGTTCAGCGAAAAAAAAGGGGAAAAAATGTTTTCTTACTTTCTCCAGATGAAATGAGTGTATCAAACACAACTTGAGCTGAGTTAAAAAAGTCTCCAAATTGAGCTTCCCAGATTACTAGATTGTTAGTATTTTCTACACTAAAACCATATTCAAAACTCAGCACACCTTCTTCTGATAAAACACTATTTGCAACCTTAAAAACAAAATATATAACATTTATGCAAACTTTATACAGTATTTTGAAAAAAATTTTAATTGAAAAAAAATTGCATTTATGTTTTTTATTTCATTTAAATATAGTGATCTAAACAATATTCAAACAACTTACCTCTAAATATGCAGGCTGGTTATGAAACATGTTATTTAATGGAATATGCATCTCACCAGAGGTTTGATCAATTAGCATAGCGTGTCTATGACTAAAAGTACCCCTGCCAACATCTTGCCCACTAATGCGAACATTGTGGCCTGGAATCAATTTTACAAAAAATAATGTGATCACTAAGTTCAAGATATCAAGGTTTGAATAAAATTTTTTTAAAAAATTTAAGAGGCAATCAAAAGAAAGCTGAGCAACCCACATAAAATATATTCCTCATTAAAGCCTGCAAACAATGTTGTTACACATCGATATTGTTGTGTAGGAGAAACAAGTGAAAACACAAAGATCAATATTGTAGATTCTTTATTGCTCTACAGTTGAGCTTAATAAAAACTGTGTTTTCCTAGCATAGAAAATGGAGGCAAGTAAAGAAAAATAGAGAGGTGTGGTTTGTTTCTTCATGGCTGAAAGTGCTAGAACATGTGAAATTCATCAGCTTGTAACTACAGTGTGTGGTAAACACTGCATGTCCCAGACAGGTGTGCAGAAGTAGTAGTAGAGACTGTGAAGTACCATACCGTTAAAACGTTCTGAAATGCTATTGAAGAGAGTCATCTTTCTGCATGTTAACCTCTGTTTTCATACTGACAGTTTGGTGATAGATGCACTTCAGAAATTTGGATGGGAAACTTTTCAACATCTTCTGTACAGCCCTGATCTTTCAATTTGTAAATTCCACATTTTTGGTGACCTTAAGAAAGACGTTCATGGATGTTGATTTAGGAGTGAGGTTTTGTTGATTTCATCAGCAATCATCTACCTTTTGTTACAGAACTGGAATTGATCATCTTATTTCACAGTGGGATTAATGCATTAACGTTTTTTACTATTGTTTTTTAATGAAACAAAGTCAAACAGCAGGCGTTTAGATTTTTTTTTGACTGCCCCAAATAAATAAAAAAAAAATCAAAAATAAAATATTTACAAATATAATTTAAAAAAAATTTAATGCCTAACTTTTAACAATTATACTTGCTGATAAATTTTCTATAAAATTAATTTTAGCACAATAATAACCTTGGTAAAGTAGTGATCCTATAGCCAAAGCTTCAGCAGTCGCCCAATCTAACTGGCTTCCTGTGCTGATTTTCTTGATGCGCTCTTGTATAAAATTCTTTTCTAATCTAGGATGAACTGCCTGCAAGAAATATCAATTCATTAGGAAAAAGTTAAGTAAAGTATATTAAAGTAAATTAAATAAATAAAGAAAAACTTACAAAATTTTTAGGAAGTTCCACAGACCTTGCACCCACAAATTTCAATAAGTCAACGTTAATACCTGTATCATAAACTGAAATTACTTTTTTGGAATCTTCGTTTGAGTTCAAATTATTACTGATGCCATAATTCTAAGAAGTAAGAAAAAAATATGAAAATAAGCTATTTGTTAAAAAATATTTCAAAATAAAAAAGATTTAATTTTCAACTGAACAATATTATTCTGACTGTTACACTGACCAAAATTAAATAAAAAAAGAAATAAAAATAGAATAATACATTAGTTTAGTATACAGAATTAAGCTTTGAAATATGCAATTATGAAAGTATTTATCTGTGCAATGATTTAACTTTGAGCTGCAAACATTTATACAGACTATTATTTTGCACAACACAAAGCCTACAAAAATTTTGTTTTGATTATTGTTTAATATTTTTTCACTTGACTTTGATTACTTTTGACAAAATGATTTCAAACATGAAAACGGTTTTACTCCATTAGTTCTATCCTACGTGATCCAGAATAGATAAATTAAAATACTGTATTTTGCAAGGCAATTCATTAAATAAGAGCTCACTCACATCATATGAGTTCAATCATGACAGTCAACTAAACATTAATCAAAGATTTCTCGCTAAATTGTAAAATTAGAAAGTAAAACAAAAAATAATTTCCATTTTTTATATTTAAGCAAATGTTTTAATGTTAAGAGTTATCCATACAGTTCTATTTGCTCGGAATAAGGAAATTACAAAAATACATTATATAATGCTTTGTCAGTGTTTGCCTTTTTAACACTAAATATTTTTCAGCAATTGATTTTACAAAAAAACTCTTTCAAGAAAGTACACATTTTATGTTTTAAAGACTTAAGAATTTAATTTCAATTTAAATTTGATATTACTTTTGATCATTTAAATCAATGGAATAAAGTACTAATGCATCCAGACTTAATAGTATACGAGGACTTTTTTTTAAACACTTGATAGTCACGAAAGTGAAAAGTCACCCTACCAAATACAGTTTTTCTTACATATAAACTAGTTTTCTCATGTTAATGAATGGTGAAAAGGTGAATAAGAAAAAGCACTCTTTTTACAAATTTTTATACTTGTACAACTGTCAAAGAAAAGAAAGAAGCAGTATTTTAATTAGAAACAATGCAAATATATATTAATGATAGGGGGGAAATTAGTTTTAAACTATTTTCAAGAAAATACTTTATAGATAAACAAAACAATAAAATTGCAGGAAAACAAATATAAAAATAAATACAAACATTAAAAAAAATAACAAAAATAAAAATAAATTAAAAAGTAAATGAAATGCTACCAACAATGTTAGTATATAGTTGAAACCCGTTTCAGCAAATTCCAAGGGATTGAATGAATTGCTATGCAATAAGGAAAATTTGTTAAACCAATATTACGAATTTTAGCATTAACCAATATTATTCTGCTGCTTTTGAATTTTTCCAATAAAAAAATTAATAAATGCTTTACAGTTTTGACATATTTGTACTCCACATCAAGGAAAATATCGATGTAATATTTTAAAGCTCACAAAAACTATTAAATTAAAACAAACAACAAATTTATTAACACTTACTTATCAGACAAATAAGTAATCTGTAATTTTTTCTGTACAAACTTCTCCAAACTTATCTGTATGTTCAAACAAAGTATTCAAAAAGTTTTTTATGCACATAAATATCACTCTACAGCTTCCAAATTCGACAGTGTTTGTGAAGCTGTATGCTCAAAAACGTGTTTAATCAACAAATTGTAAACTCTTGGAAAAAAAATAAAAGTGTCTTGATCAGGACAGGAAAGATGAATTATTGCTTACTTTTGCCTTTGTTAAATTGAATAATCAATTTTGTAATGTCGGTATTTTATATACATTGTGTCTATGGAAATTCGTTTGGGGATTCAGAAAGTATTCGTTACATTTTTTTCTTTGCTATTTCGGATTTCACTAAAATGGGATTTGACTGCACAACTAAAATATGTTTAACTATGAATACAAAGTATTTAGTTTATTAAATGTGTCATGAGATCTAAAAGGAAAATATTCCTATAAGGACTTTAGTCACTGAAAAAAAATAGTACATAAGAGAATAAAAATATTCAAATGTTAAAAACAAAATAATTCAATTTTTAGCATTTAAAAAGTGACATCAATATTTGAATACCTTTGTTTTATAGGATTCCGTTTGCTTCAAATTTTCGTTCAATAAATCCCAATAGCTTTTAGTAATTTTATTTACATCTTCTTTACTTAAAACATTTTCAGTCTGCCAAAATAAAAATAAAAATATTTCTTTTTAATATGATTCAACAGTCTTAATTTATAAAAACAACAAACTGTAAAATGCTTTTTTATGGATAGGAGTAGCCATAAAGTATTTCATAATTACAAAAAAAAAAAAANAAAAAAAAAAAAAAAAAAAAAAAAAAAAAAAAAAAAAAAAAAAAAAAAAAACATTTCTGAATATAGAGTTAGTGCATTAAACATAAATATATAAATGATGAAGTAAAATTATTCTTAAAATTTTAGAAGTAATTATCTATATTTGATACAAATCCTATAATTAAGATAAGAGTGAAAAAGGATGAAATAAAACTTAATGCTTTAATTAATATTTAGTTAAAAACTCCGTGATTCAAAAACGTAAACCTAATTTGAAGTTACTTGAAAAATTAAGAAATATTAACTAAGAAAAATGCTTTCACAAAATCAAATATTGTTTATTAAAAATAAATCCTAAAATAAATGAAAATTGAAGTAAAATATAAAAAATAACTTAGAGGAAAGAAAATGTATAGTCACTGTCAAAGTCACTTCGTTGCTTTAATAATTCAGTTTTTATTAAAAATAAAATAAAACTACTTTAAGTTAGGTGTGGATTGTTTATCACAACACAAACATTGAGCAAAATTATATTTAAAAAAATATAACTAATAAACCTCAAAAAATGTCACAACAATAAGTTCTTTTAACAGCAAAAAGTTTAGTGAAATGCTTACAATTAAACTTTCAGCATAAATGTCAGGAACACTTTTGCGGGAGTGGATAATTTTGTACATTAATGGATTTGTGAATGTTGGGTCATCCACTTCATTATGACCCCAACGCCTAAAACAAAACATGTCAACCAGAACATCTTTCTTGAATTCTTGCCTGTATTTAAATGCAAGCTTTGTTGCCTTAACCACATCCTACAGTAGCAAATAAAGAAAACAATATTTTAAAAACATTAAAAAAAATTGTCATAATTAATCAATATGAAACACAAGGTGCCCAAAAATAATGAAATTTTTTTTAACCATCTTACTAAACTAGAAAACTACTGGATTATTAAATGCACTAAATGTTGCAGCCATTTTTTTCAGCCTGAAGCATTTTTTGCATTTTGCTGAGAAATAAGTTTCTACAATAAAATAAAAATATTTAATCTAAAATTAAACAAACAAAACAAAAATTAAAATGGAAAACTTCGAAAATATTGAATAATTTTTTAAAAAAAATTAGACATACATAATTTTGAATTATAAATGCCTAACAAATATTAAAATCAACTTTTTCTCAATAAAAAAGTTGCGTCGTGAGGTTTTTGAATTTTGTATATTTTTATTGAAAAAAGTTAAAAGTATATATATATACATAATATAGTATATGTATAATATAGTATATATAGTATAATATAGTATAAGTATAGTATAATATAGTATAGTATAATATAGTATAGTATAATATAGTATAGTATAATATAGTATATATATAATATAGTATAATATAGTATATATATATACATAATCTAAAAATTAAACAAACAAAACAAAAATTAAAAAGGAAAACTTTGAAAATATTGAATAAATTTTTTTAAAAAAATTAGGCATACATAATTTTGAATTATAAATGCCTATCAAATATTAAAATCAACTTTTTCTCAATAAAAAAGTTGCGTCGTGAGGTTTTTGAATTTTGCATATTTTTATTGAAAAAAGTTAAAAGTAATCAAATTTTTAATTCAGACCTCTTTGACTGCAGATGTTTAGTTACCAAATTTAATTGCATTTAATCAAGCAACTATATTCTAACTATATCAAGCTAACTATATTGAATAACACCGCTTACAAAATTTATTATTATTCTTGCATATTCTTTACTAAAAAAATAATTAAAAAAAACATTTATGTAAAGATAGAAAACACAACAAGAAATGATAGAGAGAAAAAAAACAAATCTTCTACATCATTCTTTTGATTGAAACAAAAGCAACTTGAGTGAATAAATTAAAAAAAAAAACACTGTACAAGTCAATGTTACTGTCATAACAAAACAAAAAAACTTGTTTTACATATTTTTATCCACAGAATAAAATAATTATGACCTATGAAAAGAAATAGAACTTCACACAGTAAACCTATTAGACATTTTTTTATCTATGCATATAAATATGGTTTATACTCATTTTGTCTTTTATACAGCTTTGCAGTTTATCCTTTTCCTACCCTACTCACATTTTTTAAACAAAATATGGATTTTCTATAGGCCCATTGAACATTGGAGCAGGTTAAATTTGTCAATTAACAGAGTGAATGAAAACTGTTAGCAAATTCTAGATGTGATAATAATTTAAATATTGTTTAGACAGGGTGCGTAGTCAAATCTTTCAACAAAAAATAAGCATCGTTTAAGTACTTTTTAAGCACTCAAAAAATATTTTTAAGCACTTTATACATTAACAAAATGCAAAATAATTTTCAAAGATTTTACATGATCATGATAAAATAACTAGTTTCTGACCAAGAACTCTTTTCTTGACTATATTAGCCATTAAAAAATGATTAAGAAATTTTTCGGTTCGATATCAGAAAGTGGAAAATGAAGCCTTAAATTGAGAATATCTTACAAAATGCAACAGAGTTGCCCACGAGAGTGCAATAATTTCACTGAACCCAGCTCAGTCGCCACACATGCGGACTCGTAAGTATTTCATCAAACATGTAAAATGATTGGTACTTTCATACACTATGAACTGATGGTACGCCAAAATGGATTGCTGAATGAATAGTTAAAAAGTTGAATAGAACAATGCGAAAAGCACGCTTTTGCACAATAACTGGCGAAAATCGACATGATAAAGAAAAAGTCCCATTTTCAAAAAGGGAAAATTAAGCACTTTTTAAAAACATCCAATGAAAAAAGCACCTTTAAGGGCTTTTAAAAAACGAATATCGAAAATAAGAACCTTTAAGCACTTTAAAAAAACGTTTCGCACCATGTTAGAATAAAAAGAGTTCTGAAAAATATATTCATTTTAAGAAATTATAAATTAAAGAAATTTATATTACTTTTATACCTCTTTCTAAATTTTCAAAAGTACAATAAAACATTTCAGTCACCCTAAATTTTTATAATATATTTATGGTGATTATAATGAACATTAAAATTTAAAAAAATAAAAAATCAATAAATAGCAAAGTAAACAAAATTTTATTAAATATTAACTAAAAATTAAAACTAAATATGTTTTTTAAAAATATATAAAATACACTCCATTCTAAGTTAAGAAAAGACCATTGAGGTATAGGATTCAAGTCATCCACAACTGCATATAGTTCCATTTTATTCCATTATCAAATTATACAAATATGCCTTCAAAACAATATAAAAGCTTTTAAAAGTTAAACACGTCGGACAGAAATTTAATTTCTGCTATCTTTTAGGATAGACATCATAGAAATATTTAAAAAAAGGTTACAGTTTCGCAGTCTTACAGGATATATTTCAATAAATGAGAACATTCGTTCTTGGAAAAGAAACAACTATATGATGTTGCAAGAGCATTGGACTTGATTGGACCACTAAAAATAGCTGACAAGCCCTTAACTAATCAAATGCGAAATAAAGAAGTTTCACTATTCCACTGTTGAAGAAAATAATCTGCAAGAAACAATATTTATTATTCTTTCATCAGTTTGTTTAAATGGGAGCAGAAAGGTGCATATTTGTTAAGATTCCTAGACAAAATATTTATTAACACTTTCTACTTGTTAATTGATTATTCAATATGTTTTGTTTTTGTCTTTTTACACGATTTAAGAAAGCAAGTAAAAAGAAGGCTGTACAATTCCGTTTCAAGAATTGGCGATATTGATATCCAATCGGGCTGGGACCTTGACAACCATTTGGAGTGCACTTAGATGCAAACAGGCACTCTCCATAGGGATAATGATTTTTTCTTAACTTGCAGCAGAGTATAGATTTTTTTAAAAAAAACTTATAAAATAAGTTTTTAAAATATTGTATTTAATGAACCAGTGGGATAATAGATGACTTGTTTCATCTTATTCAAATTACATACTACAAAATATTACATCGAGCAACCATATTTAATAAAACATTAAAAATACTGATAAATAATTATAGAACAAAAATATATATTGGCAATTAAGTAGCAAAAATGTGTTTCGACTTGATTTCAAATATTTTGCATATAATTATCATTTTGATATCATGTATAAAGATATTAATTTTAATCTCTATAAAGGATGTAATATTATTTAAAGTATATTACAGTCTAAATTAATTCAGATATAAAAACTTTTTTTAAAAAATAAGATTTACTTAACCTCAGGAGAATCTCCATTGACATGTATTATAGGAGAGGAAATCATTTTCATCAAGTCACTGGAGTAAATAGAAGAGCTTTAAAAAAAGAAAAAATAGAAATAAGAAATCACAGTGAAAACAATAAAATCTTTAACTTTTAAAAATTTTTTCTATATTTATAAATGCCCAGAATATAATACAAGAAAAACTATTTAAAATATAAAGTGTCATTAAATGTAGGAATTAGAATGGCTTATCTATATATAAAGCTATTTGTTACAACTTATTATGAGTTAATTTATATATATGTAACAGAAAAAGCTTCTATTAATCTTTTTAAGTTAGCTTCTTCGCTATAAAACAAATCCTAATTAATTATTCAAATCGAAATGCTTTCTCACACTTTTAAAAGCCACATCCTGTTCTTAAATCTATTTTTGGCCCAAGTATGCATTAATTTAAATAAAGAAGTTTTCCCCTTTAATCTTTGTGGGAATCATTTGACCTATTTCATAAACCAATAGTAATTTCTAAGACTTTGCAAGATTTTTCCTAACATATAATCAAGAAGCACAACTTTTCGTACACACTTTCATGACTGCTCTGTCTAATAATTAATAAATAAATTTTGTACCCTCCTTCCCTACCTAAGACCTGTTTTAATCCTTCCACTCGGTAACGACGTTATATATATTTAGTTATTATGATTTATTTATGTTCTCAGTTCTATTTAGTTATGTTCTCAGAGATTTAAATTTTCATGAACTTTTATTCTTTTCTATTTTAATCTTATTTTGTTATGTTTTTCTTTTCTCAATGTTCTCATTTGTTCCTGTCTTTATGTGGTGTAGAAGTACTGAACTCTGGCCGTTGGAAATAAAAAAATTTTAATCTTGTTCAAGAAATTAACAAAGTAAATTCCAAAATAAAATTTTAATACTATAAAAAATTGAAGTTTTTTTAATTTTATCAATAGTATTTTTGCTACAGCAAAAGAGCCTTCTCTCCCTTTTTTAAAACAAGAATGGATGCTTATGAGGACATTAAGTTCAAATACTACTATTTAAAAATAAAATCAACTTAAAAAAAGTTTTTTCAAATGATTGCTTAAAAATTATACAAAGGAAAAATATATAATGCAGAAAATATTAAATATATTACCTGCCCCTTTCCTGTGGGGTAGTAAAACCAACTTGGTTATTTACTATTAAATGAATAGACCCACCAGTAGTAAAATGAGGCACATTTGAGACTGCAAGAGTTTCCATGACAACACCCTAAAAGTAGAAATCAATAGTTGATATGGCATGATAGTGGAAAATCTGGAGTAAAAAATTCAGAGTAGACAAAATTACAAAAATAACACCTGAAGAAGAACATCTGCATCACTTAACAGGTGACAAATGGGTAAATGAAAAGAGGAAAATACATATTTATTTTTAAATGCAAGATTTAGAACATCTGCATCACTTAACAGGTGACAAATGGGTAAATGGAAAGAGGAAAATACATATTTATTTTTAAATGCAAGATTAGAAGACATTAAAATATTAATTTTAATTACACAGAAGCAAAATCTCACTTGGAAGAAAGATATGCTGATAACATCAGGGGTGATTGTGACATAAAGTGAAAAACCCTGAAAATTTCATGTGCAAAATCTCAATATCAATCTATGCACCATACATGCACCATTAAACTAAGATTTATAATTAAATTAACTACCAATGAAGTGACCATTTCAAGAAAAAACTTAGCTTTTAAAAATAGCGATATTGGATTTTAATACCAATTAAATTTGAATTGTGATATTGGATTTCAAAATCGCATGGATATGAATTGTGATATTGGATTTCACAATCGCATGGATATGAATTGCGATATTGAATTTTAAAAATGCAAAATACAATATTGAAATCTTAGATGGAGTGAATGCGAACCACAATGTATGATATTTAACGCATAAATACGAATTGTAATATTAGAACGCGTGAATACGAATCACAACTTTGGATTATAAACTTGCATGAATACAAATCGCGAAATTGGATTTTAAAAACGTGTGAATACAAATCACAATATTCATTAAAAAAAACGTGAATACGAATCACGATGTGCGATTTTTAAATTGTGTAACTTTTAAATCAGGTAAATACGAAAATCATTGTTTGACATTAAATTTGTGCGAATATGAATCGTGATATTAGCAGATTCCAGCGCAGTTCCAAATATCCAAAATGGCAACAATCCATCAAAGCAAAGGAATCAAATTGGTGGAAAAATCACATGTACTCAAATGTCTCGTTAATGCGACTTAGCGAAAGTTTAAAAATTTAAATTTCAGGTTGCGGAATTCCGAAAAAATAGTTCGGATTATAAGTTTAAGATTTGCGAAAGTCCTCAAACCAAGTTTTGAGATGCGTGAAATTTCGCAAAATTCGCGAAAAAATCACAAGCCCTGTTCTTAGTTTTTAGACCCGGAAGAATGATATGAAAAACCCGGATTACAATCACCCCTTTAACTCAACATAATGACAGGATATGATTGATAAGTAAGTAAAATAAGAATGAAATGATTTATAAACAAGGAGAAATTTCATCCAAACATACAAAGTGTACTTCTAAATACAAGAAAAAATAAAATTTTCACAAATTACTAAATCATATTTTATTCAAGTATAGTAAAAATTTAATAGGTAAGAAAACTTTTTAAAAAAAATCAAGTTGCTTTAAGCCACTTACTAGAAACTGTATGAATAAAGAAAAGTTATGTAAGAATTTGCAGCAGACAATAAAAGTTTTTTTTTTTTTAATTTATTTACATAAAATAAAATGCAATGTGTGTTTTCATTTCGTTAAATTAAAAAAATTTTTTTAAAAATAAAATAGACGATTAGAGTTTTTCATATTGAATATTATAAATTCATTTTTACTGCTAAAATTAACTTTTTTATAGCAGCTAAATCTAGTTATATATTTGAACTTTGTGTGCTTGAATTTTTGATGTCAAGTGTGTCGTGAATTAAGCAATGGAAAAATGACACATTTAAAAATATCATCATTGTACGAAACTCAAATTCTTTATCTCAGCTTTAATAATTTTGCTATGAGGGCCGCACGCAACACTATCACTCAAAGAGCACTAAAGAGCGCTATAATATCACTTAAAAAAAGGTTCAATAAAAATGTAAGAAAGTCCTATGAAAACTAACTGCACTCAAACACTTAATGATTGAATCTATTAATTAAAATACTAAAATTGAAAGAAAAAAGAAAAATATACTTTATCAGTAGAGAGTTGTAAATTTGAAAATATCTAGAAGTGTTATACAAATCTGAGAAATAATCATAATATGTAAGAAATATTAATAAACATTACAATACAAAAATATTTCTAAAGCTTGCACATTTTTCTTTTTCATTAAATATTCATTTCATTAATATTCTATTTCATTAAGTTTTCATTTTAAAACAAATGGTTGAACTACGTTTGCTTAGAAAATAATATATTTTGAGAACATTTCTTTAAATATTTAAAATTTTTGAATGAAATTTAAATTTTTCCTTGTTTTTATATATAATCTTGATGTTTTCTTAGTTACAAAGTTTTAAAAATAATTTGCAATCTAGCAGGCAGTAAGCAAATATAAATGATTCAAGAGCCACATATAATCCCTTAACTACAGGTTGTGCACAACATCATTAAATGGTATTAAAATCAAAAAGAAAATAACAATGAGAATTAATAAACAAAACAATTACTACTAAAAAAACAAAATTAGTTACAATAAAATAAAAATTGAACCAATTTCACCTGGCCAGAGAAAGATGCATCTCCATGAACCTGAATAGGCAAAACTGGGTATTTTATGTTACTATCACTCTGTTCTGAGTAGTCAGCTGCTTTCATGGTTTGTAAACGACTGCGAGCATACCCAGCTACCACAGGTGAAATTGCCTTAGTATAAATTAAATAATATGTGGTTACAAAATATTCAAATGAATAAATACATAAAAATATATTAATGGAGTTAATTAATTTAAAAAATAATTTAAAACTAACAATATTAAAATTAATCCTTCAAAACAAAACTCTTACTTTGCCTTCTTGCAATACAAACCAGTTTTTACCCATCTTACTCAAAGAGAGTGTGTAGTAGAAAAAAATATGTACAATTTTTCATAATCTTAATTATAATTAGAGGCTTAGACATAATAATGGAAGTAGAAGAATAACAGAAACGGATCAATTTATTTTCAATAGATAATTTTATTAATGAAAAATACTTGGTATTCTACAGTAGTATAATAAATGCATCATAAAAATGTATGCCGCATTTATTAAAACATTCTAAGATCTATTTCTGACATATATTCTGATTAAATTGTATTTCGAATTTCTACATACTTATTACGTTCTAATATACTTGCATTGTGCCACTTAAATTGACTAAAAGCAAGCAGAAAATAATGAGAATATTTGCAAAATAACAAAGATGTTAATGCACATTTGTATCAAATAAATTTTGTAACTAAAACTAACAACTACAATTGAACTCGTTATTTAATTGCATCAGTCTCAGTACTATAAAAATACACACACAAGATTTTCAGTGACTGTCAATCCCCATTATGATCTCTAAAAGAAACGGCGAACTACTGTTTACATATTATGATATGAGAAGCATTCTTGCACCTTAAATTGCAATAAATTCACATATAAACTTGAATATCCAGTATTTATGCTTTTTTTTAATCTTAGAGTTATCATTCTAGTGCATGTTTAAAAAATTTACTTTCTGATAAATTTCATAATGAATCAAAATATTTCTATCAATTGCTTATAAAAATAGTCAAATTCAACAATGTAAAACTTACTTCTAAATGTGAAGGATTGGGAAGCAATGTGACATGCACATTAGAATTATTATGCTCATAATCCACAGAACTTGCTAAAGCAAAATCATAAAAATAAGTATGCATAAAATAAATAAAAAATAAATTTAAAAACACATTTTTAAAAATAAACTAAAAAAGTCTTGTATTTCATGCAGGATGCAAGGTTCATTGATTCAAATCAAAATCCTTTAATTAAAAAATTTACAAAATATGTTAATATGAGATCTTAAATTTTTTTCATTGATTTTAAAAGTTTTTAAAATGTTTTGTGAATATATTGCTGTGTTTATAGAATTCAATTAGTAAAACTATATTATCACTTTTTTCTGTAATAAGTTATAGCATGTTCAAAATGAAATTTTAAACATTTTATAATATCTTATAAAAATCTCATTAATTATCTATATAAAAATTTTATAATCTTGGGAATATTGGTATCCAAACTAAGAACAAAGTAAAAATTTAATTCAGTCATGGAATATACATTTCTTAAAATTGACCAAAGGAGAAAAGAAAATCTGAGAAATCAGTTAATATTTTTAGCTAGCTTTTCAGTAGTTAATACTGGTGTATTTTTTCCATTTTCAATAAACTTGAATCGTGAATGTAATAAACAATTTTTAATGCATTAAATAATTTGAAATTTGTTTATTTGATTCATTTTTAATATTATTTCAATTATAATAATATTTTTAAAATTTAGCTACTTATAAATGAAAAGTCTTGAAATATCTTTGAAAAAATTAAAAAAATAAATAATTTTGGATAAAAAAAAAATTGATTTAAATCAAATCATGCTTGTTGATTCTTCTAAAAAGAATCACAAATCTTAATTTCATGCAACAACAAAAAAAGTGCTAGTGTACAATAACTAGAGGCATGCCTTTAAGTAGTCATTTGTCAAACACTGTTTCAGCAATCATTTTGCATTTATTAAATTTCTAAAAATATTTAAAGAATCTACAGCAGCAATCGGAATAACAGAATATCATTATGGTTTTAACAAAAGAAAGTCACTATCTATGAAAACCTAAATAGCTGAAAGAGTATTAAAAGTAAATGATTTACAGTATTAGAACAGGTAATGCATGCAGTTTTATTCATTCAACAGCTTTTTTGTTTTTGATGCATAAATGTATTAAAGAACTTTTGATACAGTTAGTGTTATTTTTTTTATAAAATTTTTGATATTCGCAATATTTTTTGAATGAATGGACTAACATTCAAATAAACAAATTATATAAATATTACACAACTGATCTGCATACAGATCTACAGATGCATGAATTATTTTTAAATGCAATTAATGTATTTTAATACTTCAAGTAGCAATTCTAGATTCAATTTTGGGTACAATCTGGTTGTTCAACCTTCACATAGAGGTACAGTTCTTCTTATACTGTTCAATAAAAAAAAATTTGGATAGAATAACAAATAAAATTTATGAATCTTGGCTATAAATGAAGAAAACTGATTATATTTCAATAACAAGCTATATTTTTAGTATTATTGTTAAAGGAAATTATTTTCCAATTTTATTGTTATTTTAGAACTCTTTTACTAACCCTTTTTTTTTAAAAGTACCAAAGGTAATTAATTGTATAAATCTGAAAAAGAAAAGAAAAACACTTAACTAAATTTTATGATTTAGTATGAAAGTTTAAACTCACAATGTGACCACATTCTCTGCTTTAGTGCAGTTGTACAAAATTTTAATCAATAGCAAAAGCAGAAATACATTTAACTTTAATATGAGACAAAATCATTAAAATAAATAGCATTTAATTACATACACACACTGTACATGATCATTGTCACATTATCATTGATATTATTATGACCATTCAAAAGTTATTTATAAAATAATGCTTCTTATTCATAAGAATTTCAATGAGAACTATATAAAAGACTGATATTAGAAGTACACTAAAATAAAATAAGAGAGTGAGAGAGAGAAAAGAAAATATAAGTAAACACTTACTTAGATGTGATAAAACGTCACCAGTTGTTTTTACATCTGGAGGAAATTCAGAAAGTCCTGACATCTAAAATGTATTTTAAAACACAGTGATATGTTGTGAATATTTAATTTAAAATTAACAACTAATCATTACAAAAAATAATTAGCTAATGAATTAAACTAACTCAATTCAAGAATTAAACACAGCTGTTAAATAAAAATAAACATACAATGACACAGTGGTTACAGCACTGAGTTATAAATAGTGAAATATTAAGAATTTATTCCACGTAGGCAACGTTCACCCAAATTTAGATCAATAGGTTCCAGCTTGCTGGGGATAAAAATCCAGGGGCTGACCACAATTTGGAGACGGCCACCATCATGGTGCTAGTCTCAAAATTGTGAAGCCTTAACCAACATGATTCCTTCGGCTGTCAATTGGTTGTTTTAGAAACACTTTACTTTTCTAGTGTTAATAAGAATGAAAGAAATTGTCTTAATTTTCTTTAAACAGCGAAATGGCACAGTATAAAATTTCAATTATTTCTTTTAACAGTTTCATTTTTTAATAAATTTATTAGCACATAATAAATTTATTAATGCATAATAAATTTATTGATAAAAACTTAAATATGAGTGTATTAGAAAAACACAGCTTTAAATATTAAACACAACATTGCTAATTTAAAACAGCATTGAAAATAATTTCAACTGATTTTTACCTTCTGAAACATGGCAACAGGAGGAAACTTCAAAAGTCCAGTTAAAAGAGCTAGTCGACCTCTATGAGCAATTCCAATCTGAACATCTTTCACACCATCTGAGTGAAAATGAATAAACAAATAAATAAAATAATTAAAAAACATCCTTACATATAAAGTATAGGTTCACAGTATTTAGGCTAACCATAAGATGCATTTGCTTATAGATAAGAGATTAAAGTAGATTGAAAACATATCTACAATCTCTATTATTTTAGTATTTATGTTTCATATGGTGGAAAAAGCAAAAATAAAATAGGATTCATGTATTTTTTTTGAATGATTTTTCTCAGTTCTGTGACTTCTTTTAAGTCTTCCTCTTATAACTTTCAAATTATAATTTTTAAATTATAATTTAAATTTTTTTTTATACCTAATACTCCTTAAATATTATTTTATTTCACTTTTTAGCAATTCTATAACATTGAAAAATATTTTTCTTTCACAGTTCTACTACTGTAATGTATTTTGATGAGTTAAAACTTTGTACATAAAATTAATCAAAGAAAACCGAATTATTTTAATAACAAGGTTTGAATGTTTTATTACAAAATAATATCAATTTAATTATCCACTCCTGCATTTCATTAACCTTAGAATAAACTTTGGAGGAACAATATCATTTTGATTGTAAAGATTATTTATATTTTCTTTTTAACAAATAATGTAGTAAATTAAAAACTACCTTCAATTCACAATTTCAGGTTTTGCTCTAATGAAGGTTTGAATGTTTCATTACAAAATAATATCAATTTAATTCTCCACTACTGCATTCCTTTAACCTTAGAATGAACTTTGGGAACAATATCATTTTGATTGTAAAGTGTATTTTACGTTTTTTTTAACAAATAAAGTAGCAAATTAAAAACTACCTTCAATTCACAATTTCAGATTTGGTTCTAATGAACTAATTTCCATGAATGGAGCATTAGCAGAAAAAATATCTCTCTCTGCTTTAATCCTCAGACACTTTTTTCACAAATTTCTGGGAATGCAGAAATTATTTATTTATTAGGGTCAATATGATTAAAATCACTTAATTTAAATCAGCTGATAATTTAAAAAATTATTAATTCAAATCAATTGTTTTTTAAAGCATCAATTTAAGTATAAAAAAAATTACACAATATAATTTAAGAATATATTTTTAAAACAAAGCTTTTTTTAAAGTCAGATTTTATAGATAAAGGTTTTATCTGGAGAAATAACAAAAAGGGATGCTTATAAATTATTATTTGATGTTCAAAATAGAATAATAAATAAAAAAGATTTTAAATTTATTAACATAAAGTGTATTAATAATGTGGATAAAACTGGAATGATCAACATACTAGGCTCAAGTAACGTTTATAGGTTCACCAGGTACACTGAAACTTTGGTACTTGAACCTAGTATGTTGATTACATCACAGAAGTTCAAGTACCGAAGTTTCAGTGTACCTTGCAAACTGAGAAAAAAAAATCTGAGTATTATTGTCATAAGATTTTTATATGCAGGACCTCAGAAGGTTAAAATAAATTTTCAATTATAAGCTGCTTCAATTATTAACTAGCTTGATGCCAAAATATTCTAAACGACTATGATAATACTGTAAACTGAGGTCAAGGTTAACTAATTTAAATTATTAATTAACTTCACTAAAAAAAAGACACATACCTATGCAGCATTGATTCAAAATTTCTATAAAGAAAGCAATCATACTTTCAGCACCTTCTCCTCCATATCTCTTCACAGTAGAAAATTTAGTAGCCAAAAAGTTTTCAAAAACCTATAACATACTACCTCAAAATTAACACTAAAATAATTCCAAAATATTTTATTAAAATATTAAATGTCACAATATTTTCATTGAAGTTATTATAAAAAAATGAACTGTAGAAATTTCCTTGCTTCAAGTTAAGTGTCCAAAATAAATTTTCTTACCTGAGACTTTATAAGTTCCTGAGCTAAATTTTGTCTTTCAAAATTAGAAAATTGAGTTTCTAATTGGATTTTTTCAAATTCTTTTACAAGCCAATCTTTTTCGTGTTCCTAAAACAAAAAAAATAAAAAATTCTTTTTTTTTCATTAAAAATAATAAATAGGACAAATCATAAATATTTTAAAGTAACTTAATTCATTATTTTATACTAAGTACACACAGGTATTTCAAAGTTATAAAATACTAGAAGTATATTTTCATTTAAGGTATATTCATTAAGGTACATTCATAAGGTGTATTCATTAAGGTATATTTTCATTTACTTATTTAAATGTACTATAGTTCTTTAATATAGCTTGTATCTACACAACAACTCACAAATTTCAACATTAAAACCATTTAAAATACGGTACTCCATTGCAATACATGTAGAGGTGTTGCTAATAAAACTGCTTCCATTCGTCAAAATGAGGACAAAAATGTCATTTTCACACATCGTAAAAAAAAATTTAAAAATTCAAATTTTTTTCTTAAATTCTAATTTTTTAAAATTGAAATTTTTTAAAAATTTAACAAGTCAAAATCAAATGTAGGAAATGATTAAATGGAATGGAAATTATATTGGTTCTAAAATTTTGGAAAACTAACTTAGAATATGTCTTGATTTTGTGGACAAGGATCACTTTTAAAGGGGTTATTTTGATAAAGGAATGATTTAAGATAAAAGTAATGAAATATTCATTTTGGCTTGAATAAAAGATGAGATATATTTATATACATATCTTTTTGTTTTAAAAAACAAAGAGTGCATTTAAAAAAATAAGTGGCTGTATATAGATATTTATTTATTATTGTCATTATCTAATGTTTCGTATATAATAAATAACTACTTTATTGGGTTATTAAAAAGAATAAAAAGCATTATTGTGTTGTTTATTACCTCTAAGTGTTGTACCTCAATTCCAATTTTATTGCAATATATTTTTTCGATTAAAGGCAAAAGCTCAGAAATTGGTAATTCATACGGAAGAGATGAGGAGATTTTCGATAGTGAAATCTTTTCAGAACTGTTGTTACTAAATCCATAATTCACTGGATCAAGAACAGGTAAGTACCTATATAAAATTTTTGAACATAATTCAAATATATGAAAATAAACCAGACGATAAGGTAATATACATTATAAACTACATGTAAATTCTATTTTAAATTAACTCTTTCCTTTAGATTTAAAAATACAAATTTTTATGCAGAAGACTTAAAATTAATTTTTATAATAAAGATCTCAAACTATAATTCTATATAAGCTTCGTTTTTAAAAAAATATTCAGTAAGGAAATTAACTGATGATTTTATTTTTCAATCAAATTTTATTTAATAACTTCTAATAATTTTTTTTCTTAAAAAAATCTATATATTTCATTAAATCATGTAAAATTGTTTAACCCACTGGCGGTTAAGGAAATGGGCAAAATTGGGAGAATGTTTCTCCCCTACACACAGTTCCCCTATCAGTTAACACGGGAAAACCGGTTTTGCTATGCAGAGAAGACTGCAGGTTAAAATGCGACTTTTTACGTGCAGAACCGTCAGTGGGTTAAAAAATTAATAAAATTACACAAACCGTTTTTGGAACGAATTAAAAAATATTTCAAAACTCAAATTTGATTTTTAAAAAAACAAGAGTTCTAGAAATGAAATTTTTTTAATGAAAACATAATAATTAAAAATCTTTTAAATAGCACCAAACATTAATGAATAAGAAATTGTACCATATTACTAATATGGAAATTACTAATAGCAATATTTCATTTCATTAAAAAAAAACTAATGATTTTTAAATTAAAAATCATAAATATATTAAAAACAAGGATAAACTACGAACTTTTTTTCAGGATTCCTCAAGGGATTTAAAAAAGCTATTCTATGTCCATGATTTCTGTAAGCTTCAAGAATTTGGTAAATGCTACTTCCATAATTTTTGTTAGGAAGGTTTTCTGTAAAAAGAAATAGACATAATAATGACAGTTTGATACATGAATTATACAATGGTAAAGAAATATTTGGTTAAACATTAGAAACCCATAAAACTTAGTGATTTTGACAGAATCAATCAGAGAGTAATTTTCCATGAGGGTGTTCAGAAATTCAAAGGTGAGAATTTAAAGTGAGGTTAAATGTAAAACTGGTGTCTAATATTTATGCTCCATAAATATTTTAAAGAATTAAAAATTTGTAATGTATTTTTAAATTTAAAACTTGTTATGGAGAAATGGGAAAATGACAGTTCAATTAATCACAAATTCCTCATTCGGAGAACGTTAGGAAGAAATTTATAACGCACTTTTTGTATCATGCAACTTTTCAGTGCAAATCATGCGCTTTTCAGTGCAAATTTTAGAATTTTGTATAGTTAAAGCAGCAAAAAAATGATTATTTATTTAAATATAAGCTCTTCATTACCAGAGTTAACATTATCGTTTGATTTCGGTTTGAATCCATATACACCGAGGGAGGAATGATATTTACAAGAAAATTGTTTTATCTGAAAAAATTTAAATTTTAATAACCGATTCATAATGCAAACAAATATGACGTCCCCACATGTGATTTTGTTTTGGTTTTGCTATTCATTATTTAAGCACTTTTGGTGCAAAATAACGAAAATGAATATCGCCAAAGAAGGTTGCTATAATATGTGGGAACACTTCCTAACTAAAAATAAAAAATTTATATCAAGTTTAATAGTTACATTAACCGAATGAGGAAAATAATTTTCAACGATTGAAAATCAATTATTTTCATTTAAATCAATAAAACTATTTCAAAGATACGTAAGTAGAATTTTATTTTTCATAAAACACAAGTACACTTTTCGCCAAATTAGCGAAAAAGATTTTAAGATAGATCTGAAACAGCCGTATTGCCATATCTTTTTTAGAAAAATCTTAGATTTATTTAGTCTTTATTCTTCCATTTTCGGGAAACGAACTGAACTGAGCTACTGATTTTTTACTAGAAGTTGGCAATGTTGCTGTCTCACCGAAAGGAAAACAGTTATTTATGTTTAGAGTTTTTTTATTAACTTTTCGCATGTAAAATTAAAAAAAATTAATATTTGTATATAGTAATATTAATAAAGAATTATACTTATGAATTCTCAGGCCCAAACCGAAGCTTCTCATGCTGCTGAAGCTACTAGGTAAATATAAACAATGATGGTATCTTGTCAAATAATAAACGTTTTATTTATTTAAAGCATATTATGTATAATAAAATTTTTCTTCATATTTTGAAATTCCATGTCTTTATTTACTCTATAAAAGTTTGTGGAAAGAATGGTTTATCTCGATTGCGTGTAACCTTTTATATATTAGAACGCACATAGGAGATAGAATTTAAAAGTAAATATACTTACCATATTTCATTTTTTTTGTGATGTTTTATATTGAGATCTTTTTGTGAATCTACATGCTCCTCTAGCCATGTAAGCCTCTTCAATATTCCTTTGGAAGCTGAATATTAGCCCGCACAAGATATTGTCATTTTTTTTAAAAAAGAGAGAAAAAACATTTTCATAATTATGCTCCACTTATGTTTATTTTCAAGCTTTTTCGACTTGTGTACTATTCAATACTGATTATGAAATGTGTTTTGAAATACTCTATTTGCCACTTGAAATAGTAAGAGTTAAATATTAAAAGGTCAATGTTATTTGATAGCTCTTTAGGTGGTATCTACTACAGTACATCTGAAATTTTTAACTATTTAATTACTTTAATACATTATAAATTATTTATTATTAAATTTTGAGACTAATAATTTGGAATGTTAGAGACACAAAACAAGAAGCTGAAAACAAAGAATATGTAAAGATATGTATGTTAGCAAAACAGCACTTCATCAGGGGTTGCACTATTTGCCAACATACAGGAGCCTTTATTTTCTAACAATTATTATGTCTCAATAATGAAAGACGTGGATGTCTGTAAAATGCAATTAAGAAATGATATAATGCTAGATTAATTCTAAGAATNATCTACTACAGTACATCTGAAATTTTGAACTATTTAATTACTTTAATACATTATAAATTATTTATTATTAAATTTTGAGACTAATAATTTGGAATGTTAGAGACACAAAACAAGAAGCTGAAAACAAAGAATATGTAGAGATATGTATGTTAGCAAAACAGCACTTCATCAGGGCGATTTTCAATAATTCACAATCATATAGGGATTTATTGTGTCAACAAAATGTAATGTATATCTTTGCTTGATAAGTGCAGCACAGCAAACTCTGTTAACATACGATTGAAAGAAATTGTTCTTCGTGTGTGTTAGAAACGAGCAATGCACTATCAAGAGCAATACTCTTCACCCTGCTCAATGTCTACAATGCACCGGGAAAGATTTTACACATTGCAGATTAATTGTAATTTCCTTTGCTTTGAAAAAATTGCCAATTCATCATCTGGTCGGCTGCATAACATTAATATTTTCCTATGCAGTGATTTATTGCCTAGTCCTTGTAGAGATATAAATAGTTCCTAAAAAATGTTAGTTGTGTAATTTACTGCTTATTGTAAAAAAGTATATGAGGTTAGCTGTTATTTCTGTTTCGTATGCTATAAAAAATTAAATAATGAAAAATAATAGTTTTTTTTTAGAAAAAATAACTAAGTTATCGATATAATATGTGTGGCCTTTCTTACGGAGAATAAGCTATGAATTTCTAAAATTGTTCATACCTTACTCTCTATATAAGTAATTATGTTCTGTGAAATAGCACTAGATATGAGCATTGGTTATATGGTCAAAAAATAAGTTCTGACTTAAAAAAAATTTTTTTTTGAGTGCTGTAAGTGTTTTGTTTTTTTTATGACAAAAAATAATCAGCCAGAAGTTATTTTGCTGCAGAGTAATCTTAAACGTTATAATAAAAACAATAATTTTATTAAATATTAAATGAATAATAAAATTATCTAGGAAATTTTTTATATTGAATTTCCCTGTCTCCCAGAAATAATTATTACATTCTATGCTGTAAATTTTGTGTGTAATAACAAAAATGCTTTAGAAAAAATGCAACAATTTTGCACTATTGCACATCAAATATGCCAGAAACCCTTGAGGAGATGGGAGAAATATAGACATTTTCTTTGCAACACAGTTTTTCATTGCCATAAAAAATTAAATAGGGTGCCAACAGATTTAAGTACTCAAAATTATACCAAACTTTAAACAGAAATAAGTTTTAAATAAAATTAAAAGTAGCTACTAAAAATATAAACAAAAAAAAACATATGAGAAAGATGTAAGAAACAATATATGAGGATAAATTTAAAGCAATTATGGTGATTTAAGCTCAGACTTGCTGTTAGTGAAGAATATCACATAAGAGTGCTGTCACTAAAAATTATAAATTTGAGATTTATAATGTTTTAAATAGGCCTTTTGTAAAAAAAATATTTAAAAAAAATCGTAAATTTTAACGTCCCAGGTTCTAAGGAACATAATTTTCACAGTCTCCTTACTGAGTTCATTCTGTGCCGGATTAAACGTACTCGGGGCCCTAGGCCATTCAAATTTTTGGGGCCCTTAGATTAAAAAAATTTTTCTCATATATTTTTTATTTATTCAAATATAAAAGTATTTATATATCTTTTCATTTAAGAAAGCATATTTAAAATTAAAATAAATAAAAAGTAAAATTTTATTTTATTTTGTTAAATTAGATCTAAAAAATAATCATAACGTTTTGAAAAAATTTGAAATTTATTAACACTTTACAAAATCAACGCAACTATAAAATTCGTATTCAAAAATTACTTATAAATAATAACTAAAATAAGTAATAAATAAATATGATTAATATTATGTAAAAAAAAAATTATCGTATTTTATCAATATATATTTGAAATTGATATTTTTTTTTAAATCATTGTTTTTTTTAATTTTTTAAAATTTATTTTCAAAAAATCCATTTTAAGGGGGCCTTAGGCCTTGGCCTAATGGGTAATCCAGCACTGAGTTTATTAATGCATGATTGTAAATTTTCTATAGAGCAATTTTATCCTATTTGGTAATAGGCAATAATTTTCTCAAATTTAATTTTATAAGTTATTTTATAAAGTTAACATTTAAAAGTTAACTAAAATTGTTTTCTTTAGTTGGAGAATTTTCTTACTGTTTCTCTTTTATTCAAAATTTTAGTTGGAATTTTATCTCTAAGTTTGTCCGTTAAGTTTTTTCTTCTTCTTCTGTTTAGGAAGCGGACTGCTGCAAGGAAGTTGATTGAACGATATTATTTCCAGCTTACTGATGGCTGTGGGAATCAGTCATGTGCTAATGAGAATTGTGCATCTTGCCAAAAGGCGCCTAAATTAGAGCCTGATGAAGCTGCAGCTCGTGCTATTCAGCTGTTCAAGTCAAAGGCCAAACTCTGTGTACCCCCATGTCCTCCTCTCAATAACTTTCCTCGGAATGTACCAAATGGTGCAAATCATTTTGAACTTCCTAGTACGCTTGCTCAAGCAGATGTGCGCTTGTGCCGTAAAGCCAAAAGAAATGGCTCCAGCAAAATGGACACTAATATAGAGGATGGTGATGATTCTGCATTGAGTAAATCATCAATTGATCCTCAAACTTCTGTTTCAGTTAGTCATTCTTCACAAAATACACCATCTCCTGTATCTTCATGTTCTGAAGGTGCAAGAGAATCTTCTCATCAAAGTATGAATTATTTACATTAATACTCGAAATTTTATTTATTTTGTTTTTAATCCCTGAATAAAAAAATCATAACTAAATCTGCTTTTACTCACAGTTAGAAAGTTGAAAAGGTTTGGTGCGTGCATTTCAAAATATATTTTCCCAAATCTAACAATTTTAGAATTGCTAAATAAAATATATTAAAGATTACTCTTTAGAGGGAAAAGCAATTACTATTTATTGGTAATTATTATTATTTTATTGTCAAGATTTGGGTTGAGTAATAAAGATTACAATTTTAAAAAATTTTTTAAAATTTTCACAATTTGTTTCATAATAATCTTTTCTGCAACTATCAAGCAATCATTTTAAAATTTTGTTGTTTGCTGCCAACATAGTTGTATTTGTTTTACCCCTTAAACAGTTCTAAAAGCAATAAATAAATATTAAAAGTAATTTGATACAAACTAGAAATAAAAAGTTATAAACAAGAGCAAAGAACAATATCTCATCTTTTCCTTTTCTACCAAGCTATTTTTAAAAAGACCATTAGGGTTAATTTAATATTTAACCAAAAACAGGGTTGGGTTTTTGACGTCAAAAAGTGGTTTTTGACATGACAAGGGTATAATACTGGTTTAAACCGTCAAANGTATTAATTAAATTTCACATATGAATATAGGTTTTTGACATTTTCGACATTTTTGACAGTGAGGTTTTTGACGTGACGGTTTAAACCATGGTTTAAACTGTCAAAAACTGTCACATGTCAAAAACCTGCCAACCCTGACCAAAAACTAGAAAGAACAATGATTCCTAGTAAGTAATCTATCATTCTATAATCCATAAAGTTTCAATCATTCTTTTCAATTTAGTACTTTTGCTTATGCATTAGCTTTTTTTATTTAAAAATAAAATATCTGCATAATTTTTGTTAATATTTTTTACCTAGAATCAAAGTAAAATATACTTCTTAAAATTGTGCTAAATTAAATTGTATTCTATTAATTATATTTATGTGTTATTATACTTCTATTTACTGATTGCTAGTTTGTAAAGTTGGCACATCTGTTAATTATATTATTTTTGTATTACTTTTACTTTTTTTCTAAAATTAATTATTTTGTTTTGTATTACATAGTGTAAGGTAGTGATTTCCAAATGGTGTTCCGTGGAAAGTTCACATTAGTTCCAAAAGTTAGGTTTTTTTTTTAACCATCTGTGATTTTACAAAACATTATTATCAGTTATGAAAACCAGTTATAAAATTTATATCCAATTAGTTTTCCTCTTATTATTTAATATTGAACTGATAAGTTTTCTCAACAAGGAATTTTGCTCTTTTTCATTATTAAATGATAACTGCATTTCAGCTTCTTTATTTTCAGTTTATGCACACAATGAAATCAAATTAAGAACTAGACTGATACTGTTCCACGCCTGTAAATTCAACTGTCTAAAATAAAACCCAATCTTAAGACTTGTATTGATAAAGCTACGCAATTAAAAAATTTCATTCATTAAATATTTTTTAAATAAATTATAAAATTGCACTTATTAGTTAATTTCAAAATAAATAATAGCTGTTAGTTGATTAAAAAGTTCGCAATAGCTTATGAGATTTCTTCTTGGGTCTCAGAGTTCCGCTAAATGAAGGTTGAACATTTAGGGTTCCTTTTCTGAGAAAGAAAATGGGAACTACTAGTGTAAGGCATTAATATATTCAACTGTTCTCACTATTTCACTTGAATTAAGAAATTTTTAATCTTAACCTCTGTTTATTTATGTGATGAAATCAATTTACTTGGTGAAAAGAAATATAAATCAGGAACAAAACTACTGGAAAGTTCATTGCATTAAACAAAAAATTTTTTTTTCCTTAATTGTTTGGTACTTATCAGTTCATCGTATTATTTAAAATCTTAATTCTGAAACTTTATCTGGCATACAATGATATGCATTTATCTGGCGTGTGTTTTTATTAATTCAATCTTAATTTCTCTTCTAAACATTAAGGAAAGAAATTGAGAAAAATGTCTCCTAAAATTCAGTGTTTTTTTTGTAGTTTAAAGTTGTTCCTATGTTTTATATGTTCTGTTAAATGCAAAGTCAACCTTAATTTTATTTAAATGTGTCACTTTTGACAAAAAAAAGTTTGAAATTGTAAATTTTAGTAATTATTTGAAGATTTAATTTATATAGTTGCGCATTAAAATAATTAGTACTGTTTTAACAATTTCTAGGTGTTTTAAGTTTGGATGAAAGCAGTTTACTAGAAATCATAGAGAAATGTCAGACTGATAACAATTTTTCCTTGTTAATAAGAACTCTTGGACATGTTTTTTCAAAAGAGGAGTCATTAAAACTAAGTTTTAAAAGAGATCTCACCAAAGAAAATATTTCCAAAGAAGATATCAGAGCAATGGAAGTTGATGAAGATAAAGACAAAGACTCATCATCAGAAGACGCTTGCATGGAAGAAACTGATGTGAAACCCGGTGTAGTTACTGTTGACATTTCTTCAGTGCGACGAGCTTTCTCTGCACTTTTTAAAATACCAGAGTATCCGTTTCAAAGAGCACTGATAAATGCTCTCATAATCTTATCAGAGAATTTAGAATTTGATTTAAAGTATGGCCAGAAACAAAATATTGACCCATCTCTTTTAAATATCTTTGTTATTGTTATGGAAATCCCCATGATGCAGTGCCCTGAGTATTTAGAAAAAGCACTGCCAGCCTTTTGTAAAGCTGCCTCTTATTTACCGGTTCGAAGCCAAGCGGTACTTGCTCGTACCTGGAGCACTTACCAGCCTGATCGTTTGCGTGAAATGTTGAATGTACTTCACCAGTTCATATCTCTTAAAGTGATTCAGGGAGGGTTCACCAGAGAGTACTGCATAAATGATGAAGATACAATTATTGCTGCCACAAAACTTATGAAAATTATTTATTATGCTAGTTTACTTGGTGGTGAAGTTGAAGACACAGAACTAACAGACGAAGATAATGAATTGGTGGAAGAAGATGAGAACTTGCGAGAACTATTAGGTGCCAGTGCTGGTAGTGAACCCAAAGAAAATTCTAGGTTAAAGCAGGATCCTCTTAGTGTCGAACTAAATATCAAAGCGATTGATTGCAGGAAACCTCTTTTATATTTTGATGAATTTTATAATGAACCACTTAGCGAACAACTTGAAATGGATAGAGATTTTGCATATTATAAAGCTGATGGTGGAAATACTGGCAAATTTTCATTCATGAATTACTCTTTCATTTTAACTCCAGCTGTGAAATCAATGGGTTTATATTATGATAACAGAATACGCATGTACAGTGAACGCCGGATGTCTGTCCTTCAAAGTATTGTGCATGGTGCTCCACCTAATCCTTATTTGAAGTTACGAGTTCGACGGGATCATTTAATTGATGATGCTCTAGTTGGGGTTTGTATTTCTTACCATTTCTTTTATTTTAATCTATTATTTAGACTTTTTCCTTAGAACAAACTTGTTTCAAAATAGTTTATCGTTACCTTCATGAAGTTGATGTCTTTAATGCATAATAATACAAAACCTATATAAACGAATCTATTTTTGAAAGGTCTGGAATCGCATCTGATATTGATGTTTACAAATGCAAACCAATTTTGTTAAGTTTTCATCTTAAAGTTTCAAAGTTGATGTCTTTAATGCATATTAATACAAAACCTATATAAAAGAATTTATTTTATTTTTAAAAGGCCTGGAATCAGGGCCGGATTAACCTATAGGCACACTAGGCACGTGCCTAGGGCCTACGAAAAACTTAGGAGAAAAAAATTTGTTGTCAAAAATAGTTTAGCTTTAAAAACAATAAGTGTATTTTGCACAAAATTATGAAGATACAAATAAAAATCTAATATTTTACGGTAATAAATTATTTTGCAGAATCTTATGATCTAATATATTACTTTTTTGCGATTTTTGGATTTAAAGAAATCTTGTATTATGCTGTCGAATTCCAAACTACGCAAAATGTCTGATTGGATAGACATAAGTGCGAGCGATGCCAAACGATCTTGATTCATTGTTGAAAGCAAATAATTTTTTATCAATTTTAATCTGGAGAAAGATCTTTCTCCTTCTGCATTTGATCCAAGAATCGACAAATATATTCTTAATGCAATGTGAACGTTAGGAAAAGTATTCACAAGTTTATCTTTAATTTGAGCCTTCAACATTTCTTGTGCAGATTTATGTTCATACAAATTTGAAAATAGTAAAAATTCATCTAAAAAGTTTTCCTCTAAATCGGATGAGTAAATTTTCATCAAATTTTGCGCTTTTAGTTTAATCTCAGATTCTGACAAATTTTTGTGAACAAGAAAACCGAAATTATCGTACAAATCACTGTAGGCTTTATGCCTTTTAGTCATTTCTGAAATTAATACATCTAAAATGGCGTAATACGTTTCCATACGAAGAAAATTTTAGCATATATTTTGAAAAGAGGGGAGGAGTGGGGGAAGGAGGGGAGGGCCCATAAACGGCTGTGCCTAGGGCCTACGAAAGGTATAATCTGGCTCTGCCTGGAATAGAATCTGATGTTGACAAATGCAAACCGATTTTGTTGAGTTTTCAAGCTTCATTAACCTATTTAGACTTAATGTTGAAATTGACATAATTAATGTACCAGGAATTGCAAAACTGTAGAGAGTTGAATGATTAAAAGTGATGTTTTAATGAGTTCTTTTGTTGTAGGAAATCACTTTATCATTCTTTAACTATGACCTTTCAAAACAACGATACAGATTAAAAGTATAGTTAATATAAAAAAAAAAATACTTAGAGTTCGAGTTATTGTGTTTTAAAACGCATTTGTAATAAAATTACATTTTCAAACAGGTAAAGGTATTCATATATCAGTTTTAAACAATTGAGCCCCCATAATTTAATGTTCTGAAAAAACTTAAAGAATTTTTAACTCATATTTTTAAGCCTTAAAATCTGATATTCCCATACTAAATATATCTTAAGTATTTGTCTTACTGATTAATTTTACCAATCAACTTCTTATTTAAATTGATTTATTCTATAATTTGCTTTATAATTCTTTGTCCTGATACTTTTAAAAACTTCTGCTTAGTAGCAAAGTTTGCTTTATGAACCAGTTAATTTGTGCTCATTATATTTGTTATTGATCAGCAAAAGAAATTGAATTTCCACCCTTAATTTACAGTTGGAGATGGTTGCGATGGAAAGCCCAACCAATTTTAAGAAACAGCTTGTTGTTGAGTTTGATGGTGAACAAGGTATTGATGAAGGAGGAGTGTCTAAAGAATTTTTTCAATTAGTTGTTGAAGAAATATTTAATCCAGATTTCGGTAATATTCATTATTTTTTAAACTTATATTATATATTCTAGTATTTTTGAAATATCCTTTTTATCGGTTCAGGAACAACTTTTTGGCAGAATTTCACCTTTTTTTTTCATTCAGTTTAATAATAATGAAGATAAAAAAATTAAATTGTCTGTTCAAAGTAATTTGTAACTCGTAAATTCTATTTAAAATTGCACATAACACTTCTTATTCAAGCAATTTAAAATTACTCATTGCAGTTCATATTCACATGATTTTAAAATCTGGTGTGGAGATTCCAATTCACACAGATAGATGCATTGACAAGTTTTATTAAAGCATTGATAATATTGTATGATATATGCTAGCTATATATTTATTTATTTATTAAATTTCAGATGTTCTTTTTTTTTTTTTTTNTTTTTTTTTTCAACTTTAAAAAATTTGTTTTATACAGAATATTTTGGAAATCTATTTTCATCTTTTTTAATTTTTTACCTGATAGGTTGTTTGAATAATAGGTTTTTTTTTTTTAATCAAAATTAATTTTATCAAAGAGCAGAAAAACTCATAACCAAAAACAAGAGAAAGAACAACTTTAAAAGCTTTGTATTTTGTTTCCTTACTAGGCTGTAAAATTATCGGTTAAAAAATAAAAAAGATTTCTGAAAAATATATTCTGTACCGCTTTTTCTTTATTGCTGGCTAAATTTGCTAATTAAATTGATTTTAACATTTGTCATAAAGTTATTTTTGAACTTTAAAAGAAATTTAAATTTTTTAAGAAGTATTTGCTCTTACATGAATTGTAATAAATTCTGATGTATTTTCATATGGTAATTTACTTAAATTTTCCAGAATTCAGTTTTCTGAAATCATTTCAATATTTTAATGAAATCTTTCATTCATTTAGTGTGCTAATTAGTTCTAATTTATTTTTATTTCAAGAGAGTAAAATCTATATTACTTATGTTTTAAAGTGGTATGTTTTTTAACAATTTTCAAGACAAATGAATGAAATTCTTAATTTCTAAGAGAGCTGACCCATTTTTATGTATTAATGTTTTTATGGTTGCAAATAAGAATTGCATAACTGCTTATTTCTATTAGCATTCCATTAATTCTATTAGCTTCCATTAGCACATTAATAATATATATTACAGAATTCATTATCCTAAATTACTGAGATTTAAAAAAAAATTCAAAAAATTCAAATGACTGTTAAACTTAAAAGTAAATTTGAAAAATTCAGATTAGGTAAATAATTTTAAATGTAGGAGTATAGTTGAATCCCAAACACTTTTTTTGCTATATGTATTGTTGATTTTATCATATTTAAAAGTTTTTATTGAATCCTTACTTTAAGTGTAGCATATGTTTAAAATGTAATTTTTTTTTCTTCACAAACATAGTTAAAAATGTGCCATTTAGCAGTGTCTCATATATAATTAAAATTTTGCTTTTCATTTTCATAGCAAAGAAAATTTTATTTAAGGACATTAGTCTCTCATGCACTTTTTGACCATTTCTTATGATATTACATTTTGATTATTTTATATTATTATTTTATTAGAATAAATATTTTGCTTACTAGTAGAATTACTAGAAAGAATTTTTTTTAAAAGATTGTAAGGAATGTAAAAAAAAAAAAAATAATAATAATTTAATATATAAAATTTAAGAATAAAATATGAAGTTATAATTTCTTTTTAGTGCTAAAATAAATTTGTTTAAAAGACAAGATTACTTTTTTTTTGTTGTTAATTTATGAAACTGATGTATTTTTAAAAATGTAATTTAGTTAAAAATACCTGAAACTACATTTAATATCAAAATTAACTTAAGCTATGATTAATTTTCAGTGTTATATTTTACAAATTTTTGTTTTATTTTAGCAGTTTTGAACTTTTTGCAATAATTTAATGCTTGTGTACATAACTGATGTATAAATGAACACTTTAAATTTATAAAAGTAATTAATAGTTTTCAAATACTAGTTTAAAAATTAGCTCAGCATGATCCAATTCAAATATTTAGATTAGAATTATTTTCTGAAAGAAGAAAACTTTCAATTTATTGGAAATTAAAGAAAGAAACAGAAATGTAATTTATTCAATGGCTTTGCCTAGTTAATAAAATTGCAATGATTCTAATATAATGAATATTTCTTGCAGCAATGTTTACTTTAAATCCAGAGACACAGTCCTATTGGTTCAATCCAACTTCATTTGAAAATGATGCACAGTTTACATTGATAGGAATAATTTTAGGACTAGCAATTTATAATAATGTCATATTAGATGTTCATTTTCCAATGGTTGTTTACCGGAAACTGATGGGGAAGAAAGGAACTTTTTATGATTTAAAAGATTGGAATCCTGTAAGTAAATGTTGATTAACATGTATTTGTATATTTATTCTTAGTTTGTTAACATATTTTTTGTTTATTATAATGCAGTAAATACAACTTAAAAAAGTTTTTAAAAAAATTTCTAAGTTTCAATGTACATTTTTTACATTAATTTCTTATTTACTGTCTTTTTTAATAAAAATGAACTTCTTAAAATTAAAAGTATTTTATTCTTTGTTATTCTTCTTTGTTAAAGTTTAGATTATATTATCCTTTTACAACATCAGCATAGACTGCCTGATGATAACAAAGACCTCAACAGATTTGGCATTAGCCAGGGAGGGTCTGTAGTACTGCACCCCTTTTTGCATTGTCTAAAATATTAATGATATTACTATTAGAGATTACAATTTCATTTAAGAATATTCTGCTCTAGGTTTTTATGCTGCTTAATTTATCTACAATAAATATTTTTTTATATTCCCTGAATTAATTATTAACATAATTTATAAATAATAGTTTAAAACTAGTTTTTTATTATTATATTTAATTAATTGGAATTCGATAAGAAAAAATTATTTTAATAATTTAAATTTAATTTTGCGCCCAAAAAATTGCATGGTATTGTTAAATTATGGTCTGGATTTACATTGAAAATTTTCCTAAAATGACCTAGAAAAGTCAGGGAATTTTTTTTTCTTTCTGAAATTAAGTGGGAAACCTGCTAAAGATAAGAATAAAATAAAACTTTTGTGTTGTTGCACCATATTATTTTTGAAGCAATCACACGAATCTTAATCTTCCTCGGGGCAAGTTTGTCCCCAAAAATAAAATGAAGGCGCTCTTTAAAAATTTATACAATTTCTAAAAATGTTTTTCTTTTTACCTCTAAGTAGTTGTATTATAATTTTTAAAAATGTTATTTAAATTTATTGCAATTATAACGAAATGGAAAGGATTATTAAAGAAAAATTGTATCTGCAATATTTATTATAATATATATTATAATGTTCAATAATTTTCTCCCTTATTAAAAAAATGTTTATTATACCTTATATAGCACTAAAATTAATATTTCAAAGTTTAACCCCAATAGTTATTTTGGGTGATATTTTGATTTAAGTATTTTCATAAAGACTTTTTTTATAATAAAATAATGTTTATTGTTTAACAATAAAAAAATTGTTTGTCTTTTATGTATATATTTAATATTCATTTAATGTGTTTAACAAATATTACGTTTCATGCTTTATTTTTATTTCAAATTACAGAGTTTGTGGAAAGGATTGAATGACTTATTATCTTACACTGGTGATGATGTGGAAAATGTTTTTATGCAGTCTTTTCGTATAACATATACAGATGTTTTTGGCACTGTTTTAGTGCATAATTTAAAGGAAAGTGATGAACTTTTAGTGAATCAAGACAATAAAGAAGTAAGCAATTATATGCTTTTCATATTTTCATACTAAATGTTACTTTAAATTTCTTTATTTTATCCAGTAATTCTTTGAAATCAAATGATTTTTTAATATCGCACTCTCTTTTTTAGGAGTTTGTTCGACTATATTCAGATTTTTTGCTTAACAAGTCCATTGCTAAACAGTTTCAAGCATTTAAAAAGGGTTTTCAAATGGTTACAGAAGACAGTCCACTACGTATACTTTTCAGACCTGAAGAAATAGAACTTCTTGTTTGTGGTAACAAGGTACTGTTTGCTTTATAAATTTTTTATATTTTATTTATAGCTGCATTCAACTTTAACCTTTTGCTCTCCAAGTACTTTAATATGCTGTTTGAACAAATGTAAACACTAGGACTGAGCACTGCCAGAAATTTTATTTTGTGATATATCATCTGTTAGACATCGTGATTTAACATATGTTTAAAAATTATCTATCAAAATCTTTAAATCAATGAAAAATAATAAATGGAATAAATCCATTACAAAAGAAAATATTAATTCTAAAAGAATGCTTCTATAACATCAATAGCATTGCTTAATTTTTTAAATTAAAAGAATGTCCTAGAGTAAAAACAAGCACAAGCTAAACAAATATACACTTAATATTTTTGAAATTAAAAATGGCTTAAGATTTATTGGTTTAAAAATAATAAAACTGTAACAAAATATTTGACATTCATGCATTAAAAATTAAAAGGAAAAAAAATGAGAGAAAAAAAATAAACCAAAGAAATGTTTACTTAAGTAAAACATTTTTTAAATTATTTGTTGAAAGAAAAAAACATGCTTTTGAAACATTGTTAGACCTTTTTTTCTTTCATTTATATATTTAAAATAATAAAATTGTATTGACTAATAGCCAACTTCTATACCGAATAAATGTAAGTTTTTTATTTATTTATTATTATTTTCTTTTTTCAAAATAAAATCGATTAAAAATTTACTGGTTTAAAAATGATACTGACTATCTAACAAATTATCACAGAAGCGAAAAATCAGGGAATTATAGAGAAAAACTGAAATTTTTTTCTTAATTTAAATTATTTGACCATCGTTATACCCACTTTTTTTAGACTAAAATTTATCACCAAAAAGTTGAAGTATCATCAACTAAGTAATACAATACACTGCACACATTAAAATTTACTCCATTAAAACCCTTTTAAACTAGAAGGCTTTGTGAAACTCTCCGATGGTTGCTAAATGAATGTAGAAACCTTTGGCCTCTTTGAAGACTAAGGCACTGTTCACTTTAGGAAAGGCAAAAATAGTGGTGGAGGTGGAAGAAGGGATTAGGATTTTTGTTTTTGTAGGTTTTTTTTCTTCTAGCCCGTGGGCTTGAATTAGTTTTATCGTTCAAGTTTGTTTAATGCTTTGGGGTTTTTCTTTTCTTTTGACAAAATGATTTAAAATGTTTTAGTATTTTTAGCCTCATAAAATTCTCCAAAACTTAGTTGGTTATAATTTAATAATAGATTTTATATTGCACTATTTTTCTGCAAAGCCAACCAATCACTCATGTTCTTACAATCGCTAACAGCAATGTTTCTCAACAAATCGTTAAAATTGTTGCATTGATGCTAATTTTCTGGTTTTCGTTTTTACCTTTTATAACATCTTATATTTAAAAACAGGTTCTTTTATGAACCAACTATACATTAACATTCAATATTACTGTTGGTAAATATTTTATTCAAATTGTGTAGTTATCCCGATTATTCCAACGCCTTGAAACTAACATTGTCTTTATAGCTAGGCGCAATCAACATCTTCGCAGTTACACAAAATCAAAATAGTTTTCGCCAGTGAAAGCATATATCGGCCTGTTGGNAAGTCCTTAATATTTTTTGATAAAAGTCCTTAAAAGTGCTTAATTTTTGCTTTGATAAAAGAGTGGGAACCCTGTAAACACTATATCATTTAAACTATGTAGTACAATATTTTAATGTAATTTCTGAAGACATTAATAAAAATTATGATGAAGATTATTATGATTAAGAAAATGTTGTTCAAAATGAAGTAATAGAAGCTTTGAAGTAATAAAATTAAGATAATAAGAGAATAAAGTAATAAAACCTTTCATTTGAAAACAGATTTTTTAACACATTTATTATTTTAAATATTACTAACTTGATTGCTAACTAATTTACTTGCAATGTACTGTTCAAATAATATAAATATTTATTAAACTAATCTATACATTATAGTTGTATTTAAAAAATGTTTCTACCTTTCTTTATTTTTCAATTGTATCATTGTCAACAGTCATGTTTTGTCTTTTTTAGAATTTTGACTTCAATGCATTAGAAAGAGCAACTGAATATGACGGTGGTTATTTGTCTGATTCAGATGTGATAAAGTAAGCACAAATTTATTTCTGGTGTTATTTGCTATTTAACTCCACCATGTTGAATAGGTTACTTATTCTTAATTGTTCACTTCAGATGGTTTTGGGAATTAGTTCACGATTTCACCCTTGAACAAAAAAGAAAGCTTCTTCAATTTACTACTGGAAGTGATAGAGTTCCTGTTGGTGGCCTGAGTAAATTGAAATTAGTCATAGCTAGAAATGGCGGAGATAGCGATAGGTATGAATAATTGTTTTGGTTTTAGTAAGTGTTTTCCAGTTGCATTGCCATTTTCTTAGCTTTTAAATGTATTTTAGGCATGTTAGTAATAAGCTAAAAATATGTAATGCCTGTTGTAACAATAACAAAAGTTGAAGCAAAATAACAATTGCCTTATTTCTGTATTAAGTTTAAGATAATGCACTGTAGCTGCTAGCCTACCAACTTCATATGTGTTCTGCAAACTTCATTGTGCAATTCAAAAAATGTCATACAAAATCAGCTAAAATTTATCTTAGTTATGTGCAAGAAATTTAGCTCAATTAAAAAACAGGCATTTTTTACTAAATCATGCTTAACTTATTTTAAAATCTAATTTTATTGCAATAGTAAAAATATTGCAGAACTTATTGCAAAAAAATTGCAAAGCTTATGCATTTTCTCTTATTTGTTGTGTCTGCATTTTGAGAACTCACTCTTATATTAATTTATCTTGCTTATAAGTTTTAAAAAAAATAGATAACTAAAACTTTCTACTATGAAATTTTATTAGGATGATGTGATAGCAGCCAACACCACAAAATCAAATTTTAGGTAGTTTTGGAGTGAAAACGCTATTTACAAAAAAAAAAAANAAAAAAAAAAAAAAAAATGAAATAAGAAATTTTTTACAATTAAAAAAAATATTTTTCAAAATAAAACAATTTATAGAAATATGTAATTTATGCTGAAACATATTTATTTATTTGAGGAATAAAAATGGACATAAATCTAAAAATATATTAATGTATTAAAAATTACCAAAAATAATATTAAGAATTAAATCTAAAATTATTTTAAAATCTTCATTTGATTAAACAAATCATAAAAGTACAACTAATAACTTTTTCACACAGTGAAAAGGTAATAAAGGTTTAGCATGGTAAAAATGCATTCTTTTTTTACAAATATAAAAAAAACAAGTATGCATTCTTTAAAGATAAATTCATTGGAAGATTTACATTTTTTGTAGCAAAAATCTACAGAAATAGTCTTTAAAACAATTTTAACTGTTGGCACACTTTATCAACAAAATTTTTTCTAAAATCTTATTACATAGAGAAGCTCTATAATCACTTTGATTTTCTTCCACTTGTTCATATTCTGTTCATGTTTCAAGATCTGTTCACATTCAGTATTTAAATGTGGTATTACCAGCAAGGAAAGCATAACTTAACCAATTTACTAAATTTCTTTTTTTTATAGAGTACTTTTAATTTTACTTTTTAGAGAACATTGTTTATCCACTCTATTTTCATTAATGATCTCTAATGATAAGTTCTTCACCTGTAACTAGCAAAATTGTGAGTGAAGCAAATCTATAGTCCATTCTTTTGATTCACTTTATTCTTATTTTTTACTAATACAAATGCAAATTTCAAAATAATTGATTTAAAGAATCGAAGGATCTGGTTTTTTCAACGTCTTTTTTATATTACTAAATAGTGCTTGTAAAAATCGCAAAATTCTATAGTTCAAACTGAGGGACTGTCCTCTAATTATATATGTACATGGTTCAAGTATATACCCTAGCTGCAAGATTCATTGTTTCAAATTTTTTGAGAATTCAGTCATTTTATGAAAAATTCAGTCATGCATTCATTTTAGGAAACTCAATTTACAATTTTACTTTATCAAATTTTTATGGTGATGAATTTAGAGGTCATATGCTTTTGTGTTATATTCAGCAAGTGCAGTTACAAATCTTCTTGGATTGAGTTTTGTAGTTTCACAATTATTAATTTTCCACTTTTGTTTTTTAAAAATAATCGATTCTAATCAACAATGCAGTATCATTATATTTTTTGGTGAATTAGGAGCTCATCTAATTAATTACTTTTGTTTGTTCAAAAATGTTAAGCTGCTCATTTTTTGTGCGCTTCAAGATTATTAAAACCCACCTTAAAATTATCTGATTAAAAAAATCTTGTAATTGGTTAAAAATGTAATTAAATGAGCAGGTATCAAAACATTAATTTATTTTGATTATTTTTTAATACAAAAAATATTTTTAACATTGTTTTTAGGTTTCCATTAATAATATTATACTGGAAACTTTTAAACTTTCTGTTCTTACCAAATTTTAAAACTGAACTAAAAAAAAATCTGAATTTTATTATTTTTTGCTATAAAATTTGTTATTATTATAATTACATAGATAAAATTAAATTTTTTTATAGTTTTCCATGTGCCCTTTTTGAAAGTAGTATAGTATACAGGGCTGATTCATGGTGGCCACTCCACAGGGAGAACAGGGAAAACCTGGAAAATACAGGGAATTTAAAAATCACCTAAAATGCAGGGAATTTTGATTTTTTCTTTACAAACTGGGAAAATACAGGGAATTTTGTTTTTTTATTTTTGTCTTTTAAAAAATGGTAACATGTACAGGGAAAACACAGGGAATTTTTTTTCCAGATTTGAGTGGCAACCCTGTGATTGTACTCCGGATTTCCGGAATTTTCGCTAAAAGTGATCCGGAGATTGAAGGTCCAGACGTTTAAAAAAAGCATTGATCACAGAAGTTTCCAGAAATCAAATTTTCAAAGGTGGAACTTAAAAACACAGTTTATTTTATTTGTTTGTAAGGGAGAGCCAGAGAGATACTTTATAAGCTTATATTCATGATTAAGTTTCATTTTTTATCCGTAAATAATTGTTATAATCATAAACTCAAGAAAGAAAGACATATTTGTAAATTTCAATTACTTCTCCAGGCCATCATAGGTATGTGTAAATGGTATAAGTATGTGTAAATGGTATAAGTATGTGTAAAATTTTAAATATATTTTAAGTGAACTAAGACATATTGAGAAAAAAAAACTTGTTTAAATTTTTTTTCAATTTAAACTGTTTTTTTTTTTTTTTTAAACAAGAAATTTTTCGGAATTTTGACTTGGGCTCACAATCACCCCTGAGTATACATATATTGTCCTGAACGATGTGTTGAGTTTTTTTTAATTTTTTTTTTTAATCTTTCCTTTGTTTTTCTCTTTGCACTATGTCTAATGCAATATAATATAATCAAAGGCTAAAATTCTATGAAGTAACTTAATTTTTAGATGCCTAAATAAAAGTAGTTCCTAAACAAAATTTGTCACTGCACCTAAAAACAGTAGATAAGAAAATATTTTCAATATCAATAAGAAATGAAAAACTCAAAGTGAAAACTGTTTTAAACTCTGATGGTTGTCACCTTTCTAATGTGCGTTGCAGTGTAACGAGCTGACTTAAAAGACTAGCTGTTTTTGAATTTGCTAGATAGTCTATCTCTTATCAGCCTGTTGTTAAAAAATAGGAAAATTAACTTTGGAGAAGTACCCCATCTAAAGTTTTTTTTCCAATGGCAGAGAACTTGACATAAAGGGGAAAAAGGACATGAAAAAGAAAAAGTCATTGACACATTCGGCCTCGAGCCTCCAAATAGCGCTCGACCAAGAAACTCCCTCGCAGCGCTCTGCAGTGTGAAATGTGATGACCATCCATGATGACGTGATCCCCACAGAAATAACAAATGGAGTCCGGGAGGACACCAATGGAAAATAGATGTCCAGCCAGACAGTCATGCCGGGATCGCAACCGCATCACGTCGAGGATACTCCGGAATGCTCAACTGATCTAAATGTCCCCAACTTTTGGAAGCAGTACATGTCCTTATATCTCTATAAAATAGAGAAGATACTCTGTTCTTAATAAGTCGCTTCATAGTGTAAAAAGGAACGTTATTATTCATGAGCTGCAACACCCCAGTGCCTCTCTTCGCCAGTGTGTCTGCCCGCTTATTTCCACTAAGCCCACAATGAGCCGGAACCCACTGCAGAGCAGTCGCTTTTCCCAATTGTTTCAGTTTTTTAATGGATAGTTGTCAGTCCAGTATATCCCTAGAAGATGGGACGAGTATAGAGCATATGGTCTGGATAGCAGCTCTGGAGTCAGATAAAATAACAGCATTTTGAAATCACTAAGATCAACCAACTGCTGGTTGTTCTTAGTGTTCATTTGTTGGTAGTTCATTTATGCTGGTAGGTCAATTACTGGTAGCTCATTTTATATGATAAACTAATTATCTAAAGTTAAATTCGTTTATCATATAAAATGGTTCATAAATTAAAATGGTATGCTTGAATTTTTCATTTGTGGTGTTTAATTTGTTTTATTAATTTCTTTTTTCAGGTTACCTACAGCACATACGTGTTTTAATGTGTTACTTCTTCCTGAATACGAAACAAAAGAAAAATTAGAAGACAGACTGTTAAAAGCTATCAACTATTCTAAAGGATTTGGAATGCTCTGATGAGCAGCTCTTTTTCCTTAAACAGTGCTTTATCGAGAGAATTTCTCTTCTCGCGCCACTTTTGTAAATAATAGAATTACATTAATTTACATTCTGTACAGCTCTCTCTTTCGGAATGTTTAATTCCCCCTTCCCTTGATGAATATTGTGTAGTGTTTGTTTGTATCTTCATTTGTTCATGTTCTTAATAATGTGCATTTTTTTTAAAAAAAATTATTCATGAAAGATTTGTGGTATATAAGTTATTTGTGTCTTAAAAAATTAATAATGAAGCTTCTGTAATACTCATATTGACTAAGGCTTTTTCAAAAAATTCAGTGATAATTTTCTTCTTTTTCATGCATCTAATTTTTTAAGTTAAGAAAATTAAAATGAAATTAGATAATATATTAAAACTTTAGTTCTGTATTTTTTGCTATGTTATATATATATATATATATATATATATATATTCTTATTC